ATGATTTCGAGTGCATATAGGAATAAATAAGCACGAGTAAATTTTTTCAAAGTCTAACAAAATTGCATGAGCCCGTAGGGCGAGTGCAATTTGTGGTCTTTGAAAAAATTTACAAGAGCTTATTTATTCCAAATTGCACTCGAAATCATGTGATTACCTATTAATAATATACATGAAAAAATACGAGGTAGCTCCTCATAACTACGCAGAAGAAAAGCGCGCGCATCACGTGCAAAAATAATTTATTCAAACCCTGCAAGTGACATTGACCTTCAAATTGGCCTTGACATTGACCTTGACATGGACATTGACCATTCGTTCTGACCAATCAGAATGTCTGATTTGTTTCTTTCTTTGCACTGAATTAACCCTCTTCTGCACTGAATTAACTGAAAACTGCATTCATCTTAACCAATCAGAACTGAGAAATTTTTTCATGTATATTATTAATAAAGTAAATGTTCCTTACCTGAAACACAAAAAAGAACAGTGGGTCCTTGTGTTCCTTCCAATGATGCTCCAACTCCTGTGCGTAGGGGAATTTACAGCAGCCCATGTGTATTCCGATCTCAAGACAGTTGGAATTTTGGTACATGTAATCTTTCATGCCACCTTCCCTGCTCTTCCAAGCTGCTCCGTTTGTGATTCCTTTGGGAAACTCCTCCCCGACAGAAGGGCCTGGGCATAGTGGCTTCCCATAGTGCATCGATGGATGCGAGTTGGCATACGCAGTTGCTAAGTAACGGAAGACATCGTCGTCAGGGGTGGGGTTAGGGAGTGAGCGACCCTGAGGGTGAGCATCAAAAGGATAGTTTGCAACAAGTGAACCTCCGCGTAAACTGGCAGACAGAACAAACGGGTATTTCTTGCTCCACTTTATTATGGCGTTTGTTTCAGGCTCCAAAACCTTTTGCAACGACTCGGAAGACCCTGTAAAACAAAACAACAGCACAATAATTGAATGCGCTATCTGTCAGGTGTCGTCAAAAGATGAACTGGACACTAAAAGGTAGTAGAAGAGTTCCTGGTGTGCAACATATTCATTGTAAAAACTACCTATTGCGAGGAACAAATGCTCAGACAAACCAACCCCTCAACTCCCTTTCTGGGAGTTGAGGGGTTGTTTAACATCCAAACTCTTCTTACAACTCTGATGCGTTATCCAGTTATCAGAGAGAATAGCGACGCGTATTAGTCGATACAGACACACAGATTACCATCAACCATTCAACTTATCAACATTTCACGAAAAGGTAATGGGAATAAAGGAACCGATCAGATTAGATGGCATCATTTTGATTTAACGCCAAATTCTGTTTACTAATTGGAAGGGAAACGTATAGAAACTTTAACAACCTTGGATGTTAAAAGATAGAAAGGTCGTTACGAAGCCTACATTACAAAGTGACTATGGAAATTTGACTTCCTTGAATTGGGGCTCAACGACAAGTACTGTCGCCAAACACGTGACAATTCATGTGCTCCTTAATGAAATAGCCCATTTCCGAATTACCCTTGACCTCATTTTCAAAACGAGTCTGGTGCTCACCTTTCATTCACATGCAAATTAAACTCATTATCACAAGAATGGTTGAGCACCAGGCCTCGTTTTGAAAATGAGGCCAAGGGTAATTCGGAAATGGGCTATTATTTTGAAATCAAAGACGAGAACATACCTAGAAAATTAGCATTAATATCCACGTCTCTTGCGTTATTCTTTCCTTTGTCAGAGGAACAGTCTCCTTCGGAGGCCAACTCGTATCCATCTGAGTTTAGGGCAGGTAAGATATGTATTCTTGTGCTGTTTACCAGCCGCGTGACCAAGTCATCTTTACCGTAACTCAAACACAGGTGCTGAATCAGCAGCAGCAACATCTCTTTACCGACTACTTCGTTCCCATGGACGCCACCCACATAGCTAAACTCTGGCTTCCCCGGTTCGTGTACCCCTGGGTTATTTGAGATCTCCATGACCCAGATGTTGCGGAAGTGAACAGTTTGTCCGATGCTGTACAGCCTTGTGATGCCTGGATACATGGACGTTATGTTTCGAAGAAACTTCTCCATGGCGGCATATTTATGATGGCTAAATCGCGGTTTTTCGTGCAAATTGAACATGACGTTTGCTGATAGCCCCTCACTGATGGTCACCTCTTTAGTAACACTCGAATAACCCGGTGCATTCACGGTGATCTTATACTTCCCCTTGGCAAGAAGTCGATAGAATTTTGCACCATTTTGTTTGAGGACAATGTCTGCGTTTGAGCTCTTTATTGTGACTGTAGTGTCGTTTATGGGACGGTGGTCTAACGTGTGAATAACACCTTGTACTCCTTGATGAGATTTTTCTAAAAACCCTAACAGCGCTTGACGATTTGTCTCCCAAATACTATCTAGTTCTTTAGGTGGTGGGTATTTGCAACAGGAAACGAAGAACGAGAGTTGTGGAATATTCAGAGTCAAGTAGGCGTAGTCCTGCATGGTGTAATAAACCTCTTTCCATTGTGCCCCATTCACTATTCCATTTGGAAACCCAGCAGAAGATTCATTACAACCACTTCCAAGTTGCATTGTAGTATGTTTCGTGGAATAGCTAAGAGCAAGCTCTTTAAACAACTTGTCATCTGATGTCACAGAACCTTTATCAGATCCACTGTGGGAGGCATGGACGCTCAAGGGATACCTGTTAGATGAAGTAGAAAGTTATACGTGAGTAAAGGATAGAACTCGATTTCAAGCGACCCACGGTACAGGTGTGATTCCTTTCGTTTCAGGCAAGCGTAATTGCCGGACAAGCATAAGGGTTGAGTACGCGCTAAGTGAGAAGCGCGAAGAAAACCTATTGTGCCTGTGGGCATTACTGTTTCCGCTCTTCTACATAGCACTCGCCTCGCGTTTCGCCTCGCGCTTCGCCTCGCACTTCGCCTCGCGCTTCGCCTCGCGCTTCGCCTCGCGCTTCGCCTCGCGCCTCGCCTCGCGCTTCGCCTCGCGCTTCGCCTCGCGCTTCGCCTCGTACTTCGCCTCGCGGTCGCCTCGCACTTGCTCGTTTGACCGAACTGAATGGATGAAAAAAAAATGGCTTCGATGACGCTTCAAGTACCTTTTTCCCGTTAACAAAGTGTTGCTTACACGAATAAGAATATTAAAAAAGAGACTATGAAATTAGATTTAAAATAACAAAAACAACAATGCCCCCCCACCTCGAAAAACAAAGGAACAATTTTACTCTCCTTACCTCGCCACCATTTCACCTCCACTAAAGTCAGCCAGAAGTGCAAAGTTATTCTTGTTCATCCACTCTTTTAAATGTTTAACTTCCTGAGGTTCGTCAGCAGCTGACTGAAGAAACTAGAACAAAAGAGACACATTATAAGTACCAATTTATATTTTTGCGTTAAAAAATCAACGCAGATCTGAGCAACTGGAACAGTTTGCTTGCCAATCTTGAGATCTTAACCTGATAGTCAAGAAACGAGACAAAAAAAAAAATGGATTGTGATCTCAAGAAGGAATACAATACTACTGTGCTTGCTTCCATTCTGACTAGTATATAGAGAGTAGCAGTGAGGATGGAGCAGTTTTTTCACAGCTGAAGCTCTTTAACAGGCTCCCTTATCAGCCAACCTAAATCTCGTGGTTTCTCTTCTTTCAGGAAGAAGAGAAAGATGCTGAGAGCAAGGTTTACTCATATTCCACCTTGCTCTGGTTGCAACTAATTTTTCTTCCTTTGAGCACCAACTGTCTTTGCTTTACACTACTCACTACTGTCAACATAAAAAAATAAAACAACCAGCACATCCCACCTCCTCAATATTCTTTGGCAGTGTACTCTGTCCACTCTGAGTTAGGTTGTAATAAAAGCTCCTAGATAAGTCATCTATAGGTTCCATGATTCCACTGCAGTCACCCTCTTTTGCCTTTTCATTTCCATCAAGATCCACTGCTGGAACAACATGAAGTACTGTGGTCTGAAGAAGTTTAGTGATGCTATCCTCCTTTTGTTGATATGTGTTGCAAAGGTATTCTATCATTTTAAGAAGAAGCTCTTTCCCAGTTATGTCAGTTCCTTGTAAACTACCAACAAGTCCAACATGAGCTTTACCTTCTTCATGTCCAGAATTCTCTGTCATTACCAACGAATAAATTGTCCTTCCTTCACGGCTAGTTCCAATAGTTGTCAGCTTGGTTACACTTGAACACTTGTTAGCTTGCTCTTTAAGAAAAGATGTCAGCTGTTGGTAATTGTGTTGAGAGTCATGCACTGTAGAGTCTGCGGAGGGTAATATGAAAAGAAAACTGGTTTGTATCTTGTCCACGATAACGAGTATGTGGGTTTATAATATACAGCTGTAAGAGCATTTAAGTTATTTTAATAATCATAAACAGACTGATAGAATTTGCCATCTGTCCTCTAGAATTCTACAGGCTTTCCATGATATACAATAAATATTCCTCTCTTACATAGAGAGAACTACCATGAGGTCTCTAACCCCAAAACAGAGACTACTTACATTACTCTTTGTGCTCTCATATTAGTTGCACTGTTGTTCATCCTAAGCAATTCTCTATATTCGAACATGGCATATCATTAATATGGTAGTTTCCTTGTACCTTGAAGTTTGTTTTAAAAAAATTTATTCTTGCAAGGTTTGAAGAGCTGCATTGCAGATTTTTGAGTAAAGCATCCTTAAAGTACAAATTACTATCCTGCTAGGAGAAAATTTTTCATTTTACATGAATATTTAAAACTATTATTTATCATTAATAACAATAATTCATCACCATAATCAACAACAATGAACAATATCTTTTTTAATTGACACATAAACATATATTGGGCTGTTTTAGAATATTTATATACATTAGAACAAGGGGTTACATATATCATGGCTGCTTGATGAAATCATCTTCAACAGTGTATAAGAAGAAGTCAGCTATTGATCATATCATGTGACCCTTAAACTCTCAAGATCCAATTAGCTATTCTCCCAACTGACTGTTGTACATTTCCTTGTAAATTAATCAGGAGAACTCCATTATAAATCAACAAAACACCCTCTTGCTGACAAGCTTTGCTGTTCTCACAACCTGTTTGTAAAATAATGTTTTGGATTTGCAATGAAAAGTTACAAGTTAATCACTTCTGGGATTTAAAGTGTGAAAGACAACTAAACTCAACCTACCTACTGATGGAGAGGGGACCACAACTTTAACAGTTGATTTTATTTCTACAGGACTCAACTTAACGAAACTTGAAGTGGGCAGAGGTACAGAGTTTTGTTGGGAGAAAGCTGTTTCTTGAGGGGTTGCATTTGTTTCCACTGGATAAAGTTTCTGGGTGGTGGAACTTTGGAAGGATACCTTCTCTGTGGCAATTGTAGGCTGTTCAACTTGTCTCAGTACAAAATTTAGTTCTGTTGCCAGACCATGAGGAATGACAACACTTTGGGTAGAAGAAATGTAACCTGCAGCAGAAGCAGTGATGAAGTAGCTCCCTGGAACAAGGAGTCTCCAGTAGTCACCATCCTTAGCAGAACTGATGTTATGTCTTATTCCAGAGAGAGAAATAGTGGCATGGGAAATTCCAATCCCTTGCTCATTTCTAATGAAGCCTTTCACACCAGTGTGAACCTGAGACATGAAAGTCAAAAGAGACACTTTATGGGCATCCCAATAAGATTTGAGTTTGGACTCAGGAGGAAACTTCACACAACTCATCTCTATGGTAAGTTCAAAGCAGTTTGAGTGCACATAGTTGTAGTCTTGCATGCCACCCCTGACAATGTACCATTCTGCTCCATTGGTAATACCATCTTTGAAATATTCATCGGGGTAATCAGAACAGGGCCGTCCTCCTCCCATAGTAGGGTGAGCCTTGGAGTATGACAAAGCTAACTGTCGGAAAACAGCATCATCTGGGCTCCTGCTGTATCCTCCTTTTTGTCCAGGGGGTGTATCATCATATGGATAGTTTGCTACAATGGAGCCCCCATGAAGATTTGCTGACAGCACAAATGGCATTGAAGTTATCCATTTCATGACAGCAGAAGTTTCTGGCTGGTGAATCCTATTCATATTTGGCATAAACTGGTCTGGAAAGTTTCTGTTTAGGTCAACATTTCTGGCATTTTCACGAACACCTCGCTCATAGCCATCAGGGTTCATTGATGGCATAATATGGATTCGAGTGTATTCTATAAGTGCGGTTATTGCAGGAACTTTGCCATAGTTCTCACAAAGAGCTTGAACTAAAAGTAAAAGGGTTTCTCTTCCAACAACTTCGTCGCCATGCATGTTTCCAACATACTTGAACTCTGGCTCTCCTGGTTCATGAATTCCTGGGTTGTCAGTAATTTCAATCACCCATAACTCTCTTCCTTGAACTGATTTTCCAACTGAGTAGAGCTTGGTAATATTTGGATACAACTTTTCTATTGTCTGTAGAAATGCTGTCATGTCATGAAAATTATGGTTTTTAAATATTCTTGGTTTCTCCCAGTCATTTATAACTTGTGTATAATCTTCACTAGTAAGGCTGATACTTGTGAAAGAAACCTCAACATTACGCTGAGAAGGTTGAAAGCCAGAAGACAGATCTCTCCTGGTTCTGAAGAATTGTTCTGTGAACCATGGTATATGACGCAAAGTGGTACCTCTCTGATTTTCATTCCTCTCTAACACAAATTCTAAAGATGTAGCTTCCTCAGAGCTCACACTAACATTACTTAGTGTTTGGCAACTGTGGCCTGAAGCACAAACACTGACAGTGTATACCCCTGGCAACAAAAGACGCCAGAAGTCGCCATGTAATACTGTTGTCACATTGTGGTCTATCCCATGCACATGAACCACTGCATTTTGAATAGCAACTCCCAGTTGATCCTTTACAAACCCTTTAATACCTGTATGCACTTGCTCCATGTAGGCCAACAATGCCTCACGGTTGTTATTCCACTCTCTTGGCAAATGCCTTTTGAATGGGTATTTGCAACAGGATAACTCAAGTGTGATTTCAAAGCAGTTGCTTATCAGGTAGTTGACGTCTTGCATGCCCCCTGGGACATCATACCAGTTGGCACCGTTCGTGATACCTCCTGGAAATTGGCCGCGGGTACAGTCTTTTTTCCCCATTTTACCCATCGTAGTATGTTTTAAGGCATATATGCTTGCTAGATGCCTAAAAAGATCATCATCCGGTGATGCACTATATCCACCTGTCTTTCTGTGTTCTTTATTGCTATCAAATGGATAACTTGCTACAAGGGATCCACCGTGTAAATTCGCCGACAATACAAAAGGAGTTTCAATAATCCACTTCAACATGGCTTTGGTTTCCGGTTGCGCCGATCCGACAGTGTAGTCGTTCCAACTATTGAACTGATCTGGAAAATTACGATTTAAATCGACATAGTTACGATTAGGACGTCCGATTTCTCCAAGACAAAGACCTTCTATTGCTCTTTCAAAGCCATCCGGGTTCATTGAAGGCATAATGAATATATCAGTGTTGTTAACCAACTTAGTGACTCGATCATTTCGACCATAATTTTCGAGTAAATAAGCTATGAGGTAGATCAACACTTGTCTTCCCACTGCTTCATTTCCGTGCATGTTTCCGACATATTTAAACATCGGTTTCCCCGGCTTCCTTACCCGTGGATTGTCAGTAATTTGAATGGCGAGCAATTCCCGGTTGTACACCGATCTGCCAATTCTGTGTAGTCGAGCGATGTTGCGATGTTGATACACGAGAGATCGGAGTAAACATTTCAGATCTTCGTTGTGAATGTAGCCTTCGTGTACTAAAGACGAGACATTTCTCTTCTTTCGAACATCACAAAATCGTCCAGGTGTAGTTCCAGTTATAAAAAAAAAAATTACAATTATTATTAATAAGGAGACGTAGCTGACGGCGGCCATTTTCTCTCTAAGGTGCTCAATTGTGTTCCCAATTTCACACGTGACAGGTGGCGAATGAAAGTTACGCCCCCACCCCCTTAAAGTTTTTACGTTCGTTCAGTGAATATCAACTTCCGTTATTTCTCGCAGGTTTTTAACGATGTGAAATCATAAGTTTTAAATATGTTTTAATGGAAGGTTTACTTTACCTACAATCGATCGCTATTTCATTGCCGCGTCAAAAAATCAACAACTCTGATCTACAAACAAAGCTTTGTACACAACAGCCAACGTAGACGCTGTCCTCTGATTGATGTTTTTTTTTTTTTTGTTCATGTACTTCTAGTATTACTTACACGGAAGCTGAGTTACTATCAGGAATTTACGAGGATTTTTCAACTGATTAGAGCTTCCTCCTTCTTGTATTTTTTAATTTAGTGAGTGAAACTCGTGCAAATTTCATTATTTTGCTTTCTCGAATATTCTTATAACCGTGTTTACCATAAGATATTGACTTTTGTAGGATTTTAACAGTTTTTGCCGTTGTACCCACTAGTCCACTGTCGGTTGATACGTGATTATTTTATTCTTATAAACATTTCACTACATTTTGAACTGGACAAGATAGAGCGTTTGTGCCTTTTTCATAGCAAAAAAACAAGTCTTCATCAAAATGTTAAACGCATTCGACTCCCACGCAGAACTTAATGAAATTGTTTTTTTTTTATCCATTTGTTTTTCAAAATATTCTGTTTATACAGTTGCTTCGTCACTTATTGATAGGGCACATAATTCAGTAGTATATAATTTTCATGAATGCTGCCAACTTTTACAGTTGTGATTATTAATACGTAAATAACATTTTGGTTTGGTGACAATTTCTAAATGAAATAAATGGATAAATTGATAATTTCAGGGCAGGAACTTGGCTGCACTTATTTCCTCTCTAAAAGGAAATAACAACAATCGTACTATCAGTGACTTCCTTTAGTCACACTTCCTCGCTCTTGCTCCCTTGATTAATGAACACGTCTTCCGCTTTTATCATTCCTTCGTCATCCAATTGACTTTTCCAAAAAATGTCGCATGATTGACTTACTATGCTATACAATTGATTCCATTGTTACCAAACTGAAACAAGAGTTGTCGATGGTCTCTCTTTTTTTTCGCAATACTGACTTAGTGAAACCTATGGTGGCATGTTTATTCCTTAATGATAAAATGTATTGATGGGTTCATAAAGGAAACATTTAGGTTCTATTCAACTGAGTTTTCGACGTAGTGCGCGCTCAATTACTCTGAAGTCAACTGCGTCAGTTGAGCGAGCGATACTTTTATTGATATCTATTGTTACAGCTAAGATATTTATAGGACTTCGACTCAGCTTTTTTCCAATCATCATTTTACAAAACAAGTTTGATTGACTCCGGCATCAACTCTATGCTCATGCGCGCAGATAATGCATTTTACATAAACATCATCATGATCCAAGAAATCTACTTTGTTTAACCCTTTAAATTACACCCTTTACACTGGTATTCAGACTCTACAGGCTCTTCTCTTTACATTTGCCATGGTAATGACAAAGAGATTTTGTTTAACAAGCAGTAGCTGTTTAAAGTGGTGATCAGTTCATTTATTCTCATGACCTTTACATTTGTTTCAAGGAGGATACCATAAAGAGAAATTAGAAGTCAATCACTCTAATAAGGGGTTGAAGGGCTAACCAGCTATACATCTATTACATAACCCGGCTGGTTCTCGCGCAAGGACTTGAAATTTGAGTCAATTATTTTACCGACTGTCGCTTGTTTATTTTGCGTGTGACATTCGTTGGTCTATTGTGGTTCTGTTTTAACTCAGTGCCATTTATATTTGGGGTGTTTCCTTTAGCGAAAACACGGTTTAGTTTTTCTTTTGTGATATTCTTGAAGCTTGTTATGTCACTGACGACTGTAGTATGGTGTGATCCGTCATAACTTTTTCCTCCGGCAGAAATTTTCCCTTCACGTTTTTCTTGCTTAGTATTTTTCAGACCTGCAACTTCTCCAGCAGAAGTTGTGTTTGAATGAACTGGCCGTTTTTGAGGATTCAACTTGTCTTTCGGTGCATGCGCAGAATCGTTAAGTCTTTGTGTATAGACGGCTTCGCCGGGTATTTCGTCTCTGTTCCTCATCAACTTAGTACTGTGCGTGTTTTTTCGTATCACCTTTTTACTGTATAATTTTTTATCATCGTGGCGAGTTTCACTCCTTTGTAGGGTGGGTTCGGTGGTTGTTCTGTTACCAACAGTCGATGTGTGATGATGAGAAATCGTGTTGTTGCTCAGCTTTGCGATAATGTCCCTGCCTCTGGCTTCCTTCTTCCTTTTCCTGTTACTTTTATCAAAGGAATTGAATTTCTGGTGGCTCTTTTTACCTTCCACAAGTGAACTATTTGTCGGATGACCTCTGTGTTTAGGTATGTTATTGCGACTAAACACTCCTGGCCCACCCGCCGGCTGTTGACTCTTAGTCACATTAAAAACCTGCGGCTTGACCCTTTGAATCGCTTTTCGTTTCTCACTTATCAACGCATTTTCATCTGCCACCATTTTCTGAACCGCTCGTACCGTAGGGTCATCCTCAATTGAAGGTAAATTCAACTCTTTAAGCTCTTCACCCATCGCATCCAAAGCATTCCCAGGTCTCCACTGTTCAGCACCAATTTGAGGTTCTAAACTAGTCTTAGTAGGGCTCGCGTCGAAAGGCATTTGGGCATGCGCGGGCTCTTGGGCTGGATTCCAGTTGAAGTTACTTGCTTCTATGCTTGGCTGTTCCTGGATATTTTCGAACACACCACTATCAGCATATCTGGGTAGCGTTGGTGATGAGACAGGAAAGCTAGCGTACACGTTATTAGTATATTTTGTTGAGGGAAGTTCTGTTTTCCAAGGTTTTTTCAGCTCTTCTTCCTTTACGCTTGCAACACTAACGTTCACTTTATTGCCTGTGCTGCTTCTCGTTGGGAGTTTGCCCTTCGGTGAAGCTTCTTCACCCTGATCGTCCTCAAGTCTTAACCTCTTTGAATAGGTTGTTAGAACTTTCAACAAAGCCTTGACTGAAGTTGATATTTCTCGTATTTCAGCCGCAGTGGGTCTGGTGTCGCCTCCTTGTGTGACAGCAGTGGAACTTGGTTTGATCAGCGTGGGATTGTCATCATTATTGGATGACAATTTTGATACAATGCTCTCGGTTTCTCCACCTTTAGAATCGTTTGAAAGTGTTAAATCTGAGGCCATTGGTAGGACTTTGTCTTCGAAAGATTTCACCTCACCATTTTTAGAGGCCAAAGATCCAGGGGAGAGGTCTGGAGTCGACGGCAAGGCAGCAGACAAATCAGTCGGTAAGACCGATGACTGGTCATCGTCTTCCGCTATTCTACCTATCGCATTCATTTGCAAATCAAGGGGAAGATCTGGGCTTGACGGTTTTTGGTTATTTCCCACAGTTTCAGGATTTAACTCAGGGGAAGCCGAAATGGACGTTAATTTTCCGTCATCATCTGATGGCAAAGCTACTTCAGGCTTCCTTGTGTCCACCGTCAAATCAGAATGCACTTTTGGTTCCTCTTTAATGATTCTTTGTGTAAAGGAATGCTCTTTATCTTTTGCATTTGTGGCGTTTATTTTACCAAGTGTTGCCACTGACTGAACGTTGAGGTTATGTGGCACCTTGTCATTACGTAATCCGGTTTGTATCTTGGGCGTGTCATCGGATGGCGGAGAGGGCGTGGGGACGTCATCTACTGTTTCCAAAGTCAACGTCACTGTCTGATCACCCGGGTCAACTTTCTCGATCACCCCAGGTGTACCTTTGGCTCTTTCATTTGGTAAAAGGTTTTTCGTATTATTCTGTGGCAAAGTGACTTTAAGAGGCAATTTTGTAGAGTTATTTAGCTCATTGGATCGATTTCTGTTGCTGTTGTTGCTGTTAACGTATGCTAAGTGATCTGTGGGTGCTTGCAGCACAGCATCTTCATTAGAAAAGTCGCTTATCTTATGATCATTTGGAAATTTATCAATACCGCTTTCGTCGTATTTTATTAATGGCTTGTGTTTTGAAGAGTTATCCTCTTTGGCCTCGTTCAGATCTAATAGACTTGCCGCAATTGCTGTCATCAAATCATCAATACGAGGACTCACTTTGGAATGTTTATTACCTGGTTTGACATTCTTTGGAAGGCTTTTGTCTCTCTCGGGCATCTCCATACTGTTCATGAAGTCCATTAAGGTGTTATTCCTAATGCTTTTAGAAACGTTCTTTTTTTCATAGCTTGAGAAGGAAAGTTTTTGTTTGCTCTGTCCACCCAAAGTGTGTTGAACCAGTTGTGTTTGATTATTGTGCCTAACGTCAATTTTGTTACTCTTTTTATTTAATGCTTTGTTTCCTCCAGTAACGCTAGTTAGTTTTGAAGAGTTCGTGACGAGCGTTTTGTTTTGTTTTCCGCTCAATATTTCTGCGAGAACCTTACTTTCCATTTCAGCGAGCGGATCTTCTGGGGGCGGGAGCTTGTTAATGCGCCCTCCAAGAAGTACTCCTTTGAAGTCAATAAGAGTATCAGTGGACATGAATGATGAACGGTTCGTGGAATTTCTTCTGTGTAATCCATGGCGCTTCGAAACTGCGCCAAGAAGAGCGTTCACAGCCTCAGTAAACAGAGCAGACGTTTTAAAGTCGTTGGATCTATTGTTTTGACCCGCAGTGCTTTTTGACAAATTACCTGGAACTGCTGCACTTTTACCGGTAAAGTTTTTGGCAACCCCCAGTAGTGTAACCGGTCTTTTCATTCTACTGTCTCCTTTTAAATATTCTGATATGTTTCTTGCTATGTCTGCAAACGGACCTCCACTCTTATCCCATCGCTTCACTAACTGCTTCAGTGTACCCTTTCTCTTAGCATTATCGATCAGCCCGGTTAGAATATCTTGTAACGCTTGCAGCTCCTTGTCCGTGGCTGGAAGAAATCCTTTTGATACGCCTTGGTGGGAGTGAATGGTTGCTACTTCTTCTCGTGTTTGTGCTCCGACGTCTTCTCCTAATTTTCCGGCTAAAATAAGCGGTAGCAACGCTGATGCCGTTGGCTGCTTAGAATCGTGCTTTCTTCCAGCAGTTTCCGCTGCCTCAATAGCTTGATTTATCTTGCTTTGCAATGTTTTTAAATCGTTTGAACTAAATCCTTTATTTCCCCTTATTCCCTCGATCAAGTTCGAGTCCTTATCCTTCTTACGAACGAGAGAAGTTTCCTTCTCTTGCGAATAAGGTGCATCCCAACCTAGGAGGGTTCCCAACATATCCATGTCTTGCGAGAACTTATCATTTTGATGACGATGGTGATGCGTATGATGCTTTTTATGTCTCTCTTGCCCTAAAGTGACTGGTTCCTCTGAGCCGGGCGAGATTTCTTCCTGCTTGTTTCCTCCCTTACTCTCTTCCGGCGACAGCCGCGTTGTCAAAGCATCCAATGCGTCGCTCAGAGTTTCCAGTGTAGCGATCTTTTCATTGAGTTTCCTAATTTTCTCTTTGGTTCGCTGTTTGTGACTCTGTTTTGGTAACTGAAATTCTGTTTCTGCACCTTTTAATTTATTTGGAGTCTGCTGATCGTTGTTTAAAGCTTTAGATAAATCAGCCAATGAAAATTCTTTATTTCCTATAGAAATCGTCGCAGAAGACATTTTATTTGTACCACTGGTGGCCATCTGTCCATCGTCCTTGTTTGCGGCCGAAATGCCTGCTGGTCCTTGCCCTGAAGGTTGATGTATCAGACCGGATATTAGATTCGCGATCATGTGTTCGTTTGTTGATGTTTTACTGACTAATGACGCGGTTGGTTGAACAGTAGAACCAAAATGCTGCGCCATTATGTTTTTGTATGACGAATCCTCTGTTCTCCCTGAGTCGAGAAGGCTTTTCGACAACACCTGTCCAAATTTACTTGTCAGAAAAGTTTTCATAAGGCCCTCAAATGGCTCTGTTGTTGTAGAGACTTGCGGGTTTGGTGGTAGGTTTATGGATGACTCCAAAGGTGTTTGTGAAGGGGAATTTGTAGAAAAAGGTGATATCGCATTTAAAACATCATGAACGTTTGCATTATTGGATGATACCGACTCAGGGGAGGAAGTTGGATTTACTCGTGAAATAAACTCAGGTTTTTTTGTAGGAGAAGCCCGGTCATAACCAACGCCGGGCTCAGATTTCGAAGCAAGGCTAGCTACACGCAGCTTTGTTGATGGCGTTACGCCCTTGTGTCTCGCAAGTGGAGAGGCTGTAATGCCGCCCTGGACTACTGAAGTTGATATGTGCTTTCCGGTTGACAAAAACGGCCGGGAATCTTTTGGAACAGGAAGATTTTCTCCGAGTGATGATCTATTCTTTGCGTCACTTTGTCCTCCGAGAAAATCGAAAATTGGTTTTAGCTGATCAGAACGATTGTACTGAGGAACTGGAAGCAACATGCTTAAGTTCAGCTCACCAACTTTCTGATCAGGGAATGGAGTCTTCGCATTTGCTGTCAGGTGAAGCAAGGATTGCATTGGGTTCACTGTGTCCTGTTGTGATGATTCAAGAACCTCCTTACCACCATCCGAGTTAGGCAGATCTGCTAAGATAACAAAATTTAAAGAAACATTTCATTTATTTGTCACTAATGTGCCGACAGGAAACGAGCCTCAGACCTGCGGGTTTCCGGTCAACCACTGAGCTGAGAACTCTATCGTGAGCTTGGTCATCTATTACGTTCATAGGTGTCACGCATCCTGCATGCTTCTACGATCAGCAATATTGAAAGCGTCATTAGTTTAAGAGCGATCTTACAGTTTCATCTCCGTCTTCGAATTAGTAAAATGCGTTATTTTACTAATCACGAGCGTTGGTTAATGAAAGGATAAGAGACACACGAGGATTTGCAGCTCCAGTCGGTCTTTGACGGAGAGAAGACTGAGGCCAAATCAATGAAATTTTCATTGCTTAATTTCAACTTCAGTCTCAGTTCACTTACCCACGACACTGCCAGGAGGCTGGCATCTGTAGCTGATCAGAGCATACTTGTCAATCCCAGGACAGCGGTTTCCATCTTTAGAAAGATGTGTATCATCCGCTGTTACAATACAACTCTCCCTACCAGAACATCTCTCCTTCAACGCCAAAATACTGCTTGGTGAGTTTGCGCAAGTGAAGAACTTCCCCAGGGGAGTAGGGCAAGTAGATGGTGAATCTCTACCCCAGTAGGCTGACATGATATGTATCTTCCATCCCTGACCACACTGAAGCTCAGTTGTCTCACCGTTACAAAGCACGAATTTTCGTTTCTCTGGCATACAAGTATACTTAACAGCCAAATATTTATTTACACCGGGGCAGTGTTTAACGCCTGGGGGCTGTAGGACGTTGTGCCTGGCGGGTATCTCGCAGTATTCCTTATCATCACACAGATTTCGTACGATAGGTGTGGTGGTGGGATCACTGAGGCAGTTCGTGACAGGGTCTCCGTCCTCCGAGGGGCATATTTTGGCTGATAAGCGTCCCCAGAAAGCTTCCTCTATAGCGATGGTTGATCCAGGAGAGAAACATTCTAGTGACTTGTTCTGGCCGGCGCAAATGATGACAGACTTATCTTAGAAAGAAACAAAAAGCACAATTACAGTTTCACGTAGAAAATCATTCTGTTTACAAATCTTCTGGTTCAGACATGTTCCAAAATTTCCCAGACACTGGTTCCTTTCAAGTTTTTTTTTAAGTAGCAGCAGCGCATGTTCCTGTCCCCCACCCCTTCTGTCCCCCTCTCTTGCAGCTGGTTTTAAAATAAGTGAGACGCAAATATTTATCTGGTTTTACTGAGAATTGTCTGGTATTCATCGATTCTCTGGATCCAATTTTGAAGCTAAGGGAGGCAACGCAAGAGTAAAGAGTCTTTCCCAATGGTAGGGCCAGTGCGAGTACTTTTTTAGCTACAACTTGAAATAACATACTGCCGTTTAGCCAGATGAAAATTATACTAGTACTTGCATGCATCTTAATTGATATCTAGGGATCTGTGCAGCCAGCCTCTAACCTGTTTCCAAATCAATTTCGCTTCTCGGGCTCCCTGATGAACCTGGGGTTGCTGTTCGAACTGCAAATTGATACAGTCAATGATGAATAAGAAAAAACTCACTGAATAATTCCCCTTAAAAATCTTTTCAATACCTTCATTTTTTCTTGAACTTCTATCCTCTGTCAACTTTATATCAAACCAACAAAGAAACAAATAGTGTAATTCTCTGTGCAGGCATGTTTCCTGTACGAAATCAGTAAATTTCGAAATTTGACCGTTTCCATCGCTTACGTATATTTACAAATAGTTGCAATCATTGTCTCATAAAACCTACAGGTAATCTTATCTTTACAAATCAGGAACTCTACTAAAGGTCTGTGACAAAGTTATGTCTGGCACCTCACCACGGTTTTAATCAGACCGAACGGGAACATGACCGCTTAAAAATCGCGCATCAGGGAAAATAAGCCTTTGATGGAACGCTTGAAGAGACAAACCATTCGACGGTATAAAGAACATGATTCACAATGTTTTGGTCCATTAAACAGTTACTCATTTAACTGTTAGAAACAAGGAAACTTTAATGCGAACGTGATTTAAGATTTTTAATATTTGTTAGAAACATTAGTATTGTTAGTTTGGTAGCCTAAACTACATTACGACAGAATAAGGTCTTTATCTTACCTGATAACTGGTCCAAAGTACCAGTTGAGTCCACCCTATCGATAAACAAAGAAGAGAAAAGCCACACGAAAGTTACCAAGTATTTCTTCATTCTTAAACAACATTCTATCACATCTTGCGTTGGGTTTTTCTCCGCAAAATATGGTTTGTTTTCCACACCGACTGTCTCATCTTCTCAGTGGATTTTAAGGCCATTAACTGAACCGTAGACAATGCATTTTGCTGACCCAGGCACCAGTTGGAGGTCAACTTGCTCACAAACCGAAAAAGTTAAAATGTCGCAGTTTGCATTTAAATATTTATGAATAGCCTGAATTGTAGGTTATTTTCCGTTTTAAATTATTTCACCCTACAAGAAACTTGTTTCTGTTTCACTAACCAACCTGTAGGTAAGAACTGCATTTTTCTGTCTAGAAAAGAAATTTTTTGATTTTATACATGCTGATCGTATCTGTACTTCTTACGTCAGGCTCACTAAGGCCTCTAGCACATATCTCTGTTGGAACTATGGGAACCCTTTTTGAATACTTTTGGGAGACGAAAATACCAGGTGCCTAATGTGTAAGGCTCTGGGTCTAGAGGTCTCGTGGCTTAGTCTACTGACGGGGGTTGGGACGGGAGGGTTATTTCTCAAATGTTTGAGGATCGACGAAAGCGGGTTGATAGTCATCGTGTCCATGGTTTTGAAGTGTCACGGTGTGTGTGTGTCATGATACCAAAGAACCTTCAGAGAACCATAAAAGGACCTTTATTGCTGAGCTTGGAGTAAACTCTGACAGTTGTGGAATGAGAACTCGGTAAAACTAAATGAACCTGGAGATTTGCCGGATCAGTTAAAAACTTAATACAATTAACAATTCTAGGCATATAAATACGTTCGACGTTTGTCAAATTTCTTAACTGGCCTTTTTGTCCGGCAAAAAAAAATCCAACGGTTGTTGACAAAAACGCATTTAAATTTTGCGTAGAAATTATCGATATTTTATTGCAATCGCCACTTTGGAACTGGATATGCAAAGTGTTGGCCACGATGTCTGTTTCACTGACGCTTTTGTCCCATTAGAAAGGGCGCTAAAAGTCGGACGGCAAAACATTGCTGGTGCGGAGAGTGCGGCATTTTCTGGGGAGCACGCACTATGGAGAAAGACAATCGAGCGCTCAGTGAAGACGTGAGCCGCGAACTCGGAGGCGTTGAGTACTTATTATTTTCATATGTCCACGTTTGAGTCGATTTATGATAGAACTAATGGAAGAGACTTGTTTAAATAAAGTTCACAAGCGTGCCTCCCATTTAAACAAACAGACAACGAAACAAACATGCAAAGAACCTGTGAAAGGAAACACTCGATTTTAAAAAAGTGGTCAGATATGAGAGAAAGGAAATAAGAAAGTCAGAGAACCATTGTAAGTTTTGCCCAAGAGGAATAGCCTCACTGTGTTCTTTATTGAAAACATTTGAGTATCATTAAGTTAAGTTACAGAGTTCACTCGGAAAGCATACAAACTCTACTCAGTTCGTTTGGGTGTATTTGCAGTTACTGAGGACGTTATAGAAGTGAAAGTCTACCGAAATTTTTCAAGTTACACTCTCTACTTGTAAACATGGTCTATTGACCCAGCATCACATAAACTACCATTGACAAGACATTTTCCACGCTGACTATCTTAATATTGTGTGCATAATTTTGTTTCTGAGTTCCATAATGGTGTTACTTGCTTTAACTTTTTAGTTTTGGCTTATTTTTTTAGAGGTTCACATTTAGTTACAATATCAACCATGACCTTTTATAGGCAATTATCCTAACGTTGCACTTCTAACAAAAAGCTGGTTCAGTTTCCTATATAAAAAAAACAATTTAAGATAACCGTTGCACTATCGACTCGAATGGATTTCCACCATGCGTTTTGATTTAATGTCACTGTTTTTATTTTTCACACATTAAGGCAAATTTCCAGCTCCTGCATTTCCGAGTCCTAAGCCACGGAGCTTCTGAGGCTGCGTTTTCTTTCTTTGGTCCACGAACTGGTTTTTAAGAACAGGAACAGGCCTAATCTTAGTAGGACCTTGCACTATTTCGTTCAGCGAGGTCCTTTTAGTCCCAGGTACTGTTTTCTTCATCTGACCCTGATTACCTGACGGTGCTCCCTTGCCGTTAGGCCCTTCTTTCTGCACCCTGGGTAGCCCCACCTGTACTGGAGTGGGTAGAGCTCTGGTTGCCTTCTTTTGGACTACAAGCTTTGTTGGAAGTGGAACAGGGACGCCTTTTCTTCTCTCCGCCTGTGGTAGCTTGGGATTTGATTTCTGCGTGTTCTTCTGACGTGGAATCGAAGCTCTCTCTGTGCCAGAAGGCAATGGAGATGACGGTTTTTTCTTTATGTGATGGATACCTTCTATTATCATACGTTCAATGGCTTGCGCTTGTTCATCTGTCAAACCATTGTCTGACCCAGGATCGTCGCCATCTTGCGTTTCAGCAGATGCTTTTATAAGATTGTTGATCTTCTCCAGAGCCTTGAGGCCTCCCATACCCAACCTTCCAATATTCAAGTTCTCTCCAACAATATTATTCCCCTCTTCACCTGGTAACTTCACAATCTGTTGGCCGCCACCGTCCAGCTGTTTTAGATCGCTCACAACGTTTGGTGCCAGTCCTGCATTGGATTTGGCAGCAGGGACTTTCACGGGAACTGTTTCTTGGTCATTCTGAATGGCATCCTCTTCCGTGCCTACAATGTGGATGAAGTAAAAAAGGGTAAAGGAACACTGTAATTTTCTTCAACCCTCTCGTACATTAGAATAACAAGCAGTTCTACCGCTGAATCACATATCATGGTCACGAAAATAAAAGAAAAGATAGAAGACTAAACAAGTCCAACAGATTCTCTTTATTATAATGTTGGGGTGAAGATATTTATGTCCTGGTACACAGGGTTGTAATTAATGCTGTGGAAGATATGGAATGGGACCATGTAGAGAGTAAGTCTGTTGTCCAGTGAGTCAATGAGGCGTGACTCCACCCATGTTCCACCCGTGTAGCTAAGCAGCCCACCCAGGCGGAGCGTAACCAGGAGTATCATTACTCCCCCTGGATGAGATGGTAGTTTAGCGCACGGTCCCCCCCCCCCCAGTATTTCATCAGGCTTCCCTGACAATTCGCTAGTACCCATTACTACTCCTAAGGGAAGAGGAGCACAGTGAGAGTGAGGTGTCTTCCCTGAGAGCACATCACATCGACCTGGCCAGGTGTTCTGTGCAGACCTCTCAACCCAGAGTCCATTGAACTGACCAATCAGCCTCCAAGTCTCCCATTGAAGATTCGTGCACATTAAATATATCGCTTGCATGGCCCTACATAGATCAGATATCTACCGCCCAGTGCGTCCTCCCTTTATTATCAATCCCAACATACTGCTGCGTGCACCAGGGTTGCGTTGTTCAAAAAATCCGATAACAACCACTTCTGGCTGAACTGCATGCATTAACCTAGAGAATCTACATTGTCTTCGTCTGAATAAGCCCTTTGAACCATGCGACCCCTCATGTACAAGAAATCAAAGTTTGCTCATGTCTTCTACCACTGCATGTATTACTCTATCACGTCCTACCTATGTTTGGATGCGGTTTACAGCTGTAGTTGATAATTAAGTATTTCTGAACTCCGGGGCAATTTTCGGCGCCATTTTGTACTTGATCATAAGAAGAATGCACGTCACACTTGGTCAACCCATCACATGACTTCTTCACAATCCCGAGACTCTCAGGGGCCCCAGTGCACATGGTCTGTCCATTCTCCGCTGGACAGACAGTGGTTGACTGCCGTCCCCAGAATACAGAATTGACGCCAATCTTCCATGAAGCCGGACAGGTGAGGCTTGAGTTTTCCGAATCACAAATGACGACTTCTTTTGCATCAGGCACACACGTGTAGTTGACAGTTAGATATTTATTGACGCCAGGGCAGTGCTGAGACCCCGAGTTCTGCAGCAAGGCATGTCTGGCTTCAAGCTCGCACGATTCTTTTCCTTCACATCTCCCCTTTACTATTCCCTCTGACTCCGGTGCAGTGAAGCAGTCGAGCATTGTATCTCCATCATCTGAGGGACAAATCCCAGCAGACTTGCGACCCCAGAATACACCTGTAACTGCGATGTTTGATCCCGGGTAAGAGCAGCTCAGCGGTTTCTTCTGTGTTGTACAAACGGTTATTTCTTTGGCTGGAAACAAAATACACCTTAGATCTGAGTAGGAATTCATTTCATCTTAGAGCTTCGCTTTTTAAGATGGGCGAACTAACTGTCACAAGTCTTGAGCTAACCGCCTCCCGGTTAGCTCAATGGATAGAGCGCTGGACTGTTGTGCGGGAGGTCGAGGGTTCGAGCCCCGGCCGGACCAACACTCAGGGTCTTAAAATAATTGAGAAGAATTTGCTACCTTTCTATAACATTAAGAAATGGTTAGATAATCTAGTCTTCTCGGATAGAGACGAATGAATGGAGGTCCCGTCTCCTGCAGGGTTGGGGTAGGAGACGTTAATTTCCCACACACGAGATTACTATATGATGGATGTCCTCCCCTGGGGTGAGATGGGTGGGAGGGTGGACTAGCACGAATAGTTCCTATGTTCCTTTTTAGTCCTTCCCCACTGCAAAACTTGATGGAGTGAAAATTGACTAAATTAAATTAAAATTAAATTGATTTAAATTAAATTAATCCTGGTGTAGACTGTGTTCCTTCAGCGAAAATAAGTTTTGAAAACACAAACAGTAATAGCCAATAACAGAAACTCAACATATAATCTTTATCTACACTCCATAAACTTCGCTCAAGGACACCAAAAACTTTTAAAAGCCTGGCCAAACGGACGTTTATTCGTGACTCTTTTTCTTTACTTCCCGAGGAACATAAGTCACAATTAAAGAGAGAGAGAAGTTAGGGGCTAAGAGATAGAGTCGTTGTTTTCTTTAAAAGTAGCAACAAGAGAACACGTCCTCTTGGAATCAAATATTCACTTTTTTCATCTTTCAATGAGAACCCCGCTACTCACAAGCTTCGAGATCAATCTGACTCAAACCAGCTCCTGCATCCTGACTGTGAACTCCACCTGAGGAAAACAAAAACGAAACAAATTCATTATCAAATTCATTTCAAGTTAATTCAGGCCCGCAGTGTTAATTCTTGCACGCATCGCGAGCCAATTCTAATTCAATGAATGACGCATTAGTGCCACAGGCAATTATAAACCCTGGAAACGACGAAATTTCTCTTTAGAGACTTAACTAAAGAGGACCTTTTAAACATTTCTATTTGCGCACTGCAAATAAAAGTTTTTGTCTGTCTTACCCGCCAACATTTAGCGTTTGCACACATCTGAGCATGTGGGTCTAACAGACGTACCTTGTACATAAGCCAATGCTACGTTGAGGAAGGCGACGAAAGCAAGTATTTGATAAATGAAACGGCTTTTTGCCATCGCTGCCCTTTAAAAAAACAAGGTATATAAAAAAATTAGCACCAATATTTATGATTTTAACGAAGAATTGGTGAGAACAGGTGCCAAAGTGTACGTACTTGTGTTCTGATGTTACCACAAGAAGAGCCCTGAGGATAATTTACTCAACCGGTGGTGACAAATTAAGAACAGGTCAAAATTTGTAGTTATCACCTGGACAGGTCAAGAGTGAAATTTAGTCCACTTCGTCAGAGAAGGACGTTTCAACGTGTTTGCATCAAAAAATCAGTTTAATAAGAAAGTTAACTAAACGTGTACGACTTCTGGGTTAAGTCAAAAGTTAGACAACCTCTGGAGGACTCAGTGTTAAAGATTACGTGCTTAAAATTTAACAACAAGGGCAAACCTCTACGATATGACACCAAGACTAGACTAAACAGTTTTGTATATTATTGTTCAACAAGTGTTTTTAAAAATCATTATAGTAACAATAATTGATTAAAAGCATTCCTTCAGAAACCACTCACGAAAAAAAAAATTGGGTTTTGGCGATGTTTTTTCAGTCACCATTCACGCCTGGTAAACGACAGGTTATCACGAAAAGATTCTGGTTCGCCTGGTTTACTTTGTGAAGATGACAACGACTCTTGTTTCCAAAATGACAACCACTTATTGAAAAGGAGGAATAGAAAATAGTAGTAAGACCAAACCAGTTAAGTTACCTTGTGTTGGGGCCTTTTCGCGTCGCTCGTTTTTCTCTCTCTTTAATCCTTGTGTGACTGCAGGCGGAAACCGTGAATTATGCAGGAATTGTATGACGTCACTCAAGATCTATCCGGATCGTTGTCGGAAACAGGACCTTAGTGATCTAATAATTCTTTTCCATGAAGAAAAACCTTGATAGATTCTACGACTTTTGGCGGAAAGTCCTCACATTTCAGTTTGATACACTTAATAGTTTCGTTTTATTTGTCGGATGTCTGCTTTTGGGTGGGTTTCAGTTGGCGCATGGATGCTCGGTTCCATATTATTCGAACTGAAGGTTCTTGTTTCGAAAGCCCTCGAGGCCGGCCTTGCCGGCCAAACGAGAAACAGAAGAATCAGTTTCACTTAACGACTTTCAGCAACCTTTTTCAACCGCCGGACGAACCAAATTTAAAAATATAAAGTGATCTTCATATACATAGGGTAGAAAACAGCGAAACATTTCGCTAATTTAAGTTCTTTCATGATGTGATGTGATCGTTCAGTTCCACATTTTCCCCCTCAAGAATACAAGGTTGTGGAATAACTCTATTTTCCTGTGGCTCAAAATGGCTTTCTCTTTGCAAAGACTATTAGCATAGAGTGGTATAAAAAAGAGCGAAGCAACATATGGCTGTACCATTTCTTCATTCTACGACTCCTTCCTGATCAGAATAGACGAAACTAAAGTTACCGCGAGCGACCCCGCGTCAATATTTCTTCTCTCACCAGTCTTCGCCCTGTCTATCTTCCTTAAGAGGATTTGTTTAAGGAAGTGGGGGGGAGGAGAGGGTGGTAGTGGCAGGGGAGGGAACACTGCTTATTGCGCACACAGATGGAAGACATACCGACCTAAACACCCCAAAGCGTTTTACAAAAGTTATCATGGGGGATCGATCCTTCATGGCGGCAGCGCCGCGGCTTTGGAACAGTCTTGCCGTAAGCATTAGATTTGCTTGCACCAAAAGTGATTGTAAACAGAAACTTAAGACCTTTTATTCAGCAAGACATTTTGTTAGTACAATTAGTTTATATTAAGATTTTGTATAGTTTCTTTTTTCTGCAAATTACTTTTCTTATAGCCAATTGTAACAGTGTAGTTTTCGTCTTTGATTCCATAGTGATTGTAAATAGTATCGTAAACACTTTTGTTCTTGGGCCATCGTAATTTGATCAAAAATAAGACACAAACAGCAGTGATAAATATATTGAACTTGCATATTTTGATTATGACTTGACGTTTCGTATATAATCAACATACATTTTCAAAAGTAATCGTTGAAATTTAAAACAGCTATGTATATATAACTAAGGTGAGGGGACTGGAACCAAGATTAAGCAAAAAACTTAACAATAAACATTTGTGTTTATTGTAATGTTTGTAACGCGCATTTGATTATTGTTAGAGAAAATGCGTAATGTAAATATTAAATGTTATTATTATTATTAAGCAGAGAATATTCAAACTGTACAATTAATTCCATTGAACTTTTTATTCAGATTCAGAAAAACCTTTGATATCCTGTTGATTTACTTACTTTATTTAGATCTGTTTCCTTCGATGCGCTCAAGCACCAAAATTAGCTCAATGTAAGATTATCTAATCTTGTGGTCATCAATAAACCTACAATTTGGACTCTGGATAAACTCAGTTGCTTGCAAGGAAGGGTGCGGCGAAGGCACGCCGCAAATTTCCGAAAAAAAAAAAAGCAAGTATAAATGGTGCACGTGGTTTGATATTTACAAAAACGTTTTTCTATGTTACAATGGGTAATGCTTAGCAAGTTGTATTCTGGTATAAGTGGTATAAAAGTAACGGAAATATCTATTTTTGCATGGATGTACAAGTTTATTGTGACGAGATGAGCTGGAAATTTGTGCCGTAAAGAATAATCACAACACTATGCTAGGACTGTGGATGGAAATATCAAAGCCATACTTTTACTTGATGGTTTTGATATACATTGGCACTTTACGAATGAAATTTCTTTCTTCGGAAACTCTTCTTTCGTAATTTTTTCCACCCTATCATTGGGGATGGTTTCCAAATTAGCGATCTGCTTCGAAGTCCGCGATAAACTGAAAGAGGAATAAGACCAAGCTGACCGCGCCGTCCGATTTTAGGACTGGGTCGACAACTATAAGCAACTACCAGGTACTTTTCAATGTGAGGGCAGTTTTCGCCACCATTTTGCAGTTCCTTGTAAAACGCCTGCAAAGGGCAGAAAGGAATATTGTTACATTTGCTCCTCAGTTTAGAGACAGTCTCTGATGCGCCAGGACAGAGTTCCTGCCCTTTGGCAGACGGACAAACTTCAGTTCTGTCACGACCCCAGAAAGCTGTATTTACTCTAAGAAGCCAGTCAGACGGGCAGGAAATCACTGAGCGCTCCGAGTCGCACAAAATGGCCTCTTTATGTTGAGGGACACAAGTGTAGTTCACCAGGAGATATTTGCGGACTCCGAAACAATGCTTCGAGTTCTGTAACTTGTCGGCTTTTCCTTCTAATACACAACTTCCCATTCCTTCGCACATTTCCTTGACTATGTGTTCCGTCTCGGGGGCTGTGTGACAATTTGTCATCGGATCCCCGTCATCCGAGGGGCATATATCAGGGGATTCCCGACCCCAAAAGACCCCTGTTATGGCGATAGCGGATCCAGGCGACTCGCATGTGAGTGGACTTTTTCCTTTGGAACAAACTGTTACTCGTTTCTCTGGAAAATAAAAAAGCGCATTCATCCAATCATGTTCTTCTCCTTTGAAATTACCATAATCTTATTCCCTTGGCAGTTTAAGGTATTGACTCGAATTATGCTTGCTTATTAGGAAATGTTCTCTACTGCTCTTTCATAAAGCTTTCCATTTTGGAATTTAGGACCTACCGTCCTCAAGCTTTTAAAAATTTCTCTGTCAAACACGTCTTAACTCCATTCAGTAAACAAAAAAGTTATTAGGTTGAATCATCAATCTCTCGGTGGCACTCTGTACTACGTATGTATCAACTTACTCGTGGTTCCGCGCACGAATGAAATTTAACTGATGGGCCATGTCAGTTCTCAGTGTCCACTCCCTTATAAATCAAGCTGTGCGGGGCAGACCTTCAACTCTACGTGGTAGGTTAGATGCTAAGTTGGATGAACCATTAAGTAAAGACACTTCAGTTTATTTTCCTTGTCTTACCTGCCGCTAAGGAGGTCAAAGTTCTCTTGTGCCCTTTCTGTGTGCTGCAGACATACCCTAGCAACAGTAAATAAAGAAAAGTGCTAATTTATTTAGAATAGCGTTAAGTTTGATACAGTTTGTCCCACACTAGGTTTAGTTGGCAGTAAAACTTAACTTAAATTCCAGTTCTCTTATGATATAGAACTCAGTTTGGTTGAAAGCAAAGTAGTTCCTTACAATACAATTGTAGCTTTGTCGTCTAGAGATTAAGATCACTTCTCGCCCATCGTTTACAATGAAAGCAATGAAAGTTATAAACGTTTTTGACAATCAAATGTTTGATTTCCACAAACAGCTGTGTAAGCATCTTGCCTTATTTTAGAAGAAAGGTCTGTTTCGTAAAATAAGTACGTTCGTGTTCACTGTAGTCAGTTCAACAAGAACATTTTCTCTATAACCAGAATGAAATGAGGAGAAACTCTAGTAGAGTCAAATGATTGGCTTCGAAGCTTAGGGACCGAGGGAATATTTACTTGAATAACAAAAAGCTGTTCACGACAAAATATTCTTACCCGACATAACCACGATGGCTGTGAGGTGAAAAACAAGCTTAACTTCCATTGCTGTGGTCGCGTCGTCTGCTTTAGAGTGGTTAAACTGATAAAAAATTTCAAGGCAAGATGTTTTAAATCATTTGTACGTTTTGGTGTTCAACCTTTTATCGGGGGAATATTGTCAAAAACATTTAAATAACCGAGTTAGTGGATGAAAACAATTCTCGTCTCTCGCTCTGGAAAGTGCAGTGACAAAAAAAAAAAACAAACCTTTCCTCCTGAAAAGATTACGTAACATCGACATAGCTTTTGACGCCAACAATTCAGTATTTAGATTAGACTATTATTCCATCCACAAACAGCGGCGGCTTGATGAGAAAACAATATTTTATCGATAAAATTTGAAGAGAATTACGTTCGTTCGGAGGTATGAACAGGCACCAGTAATAATTAATGACTGGAAATGCATGAAAGCTGTCGGCCATTTATTGTCTTTTAGTGTTCTTGTGCAGGTACATGCTAAGCGCAGAGGCTGAAAATGATGGGAGTATGTGTGGAAAACCTGTTTTGTGCTGGACACCAAATCAAGTTCCATTGCGTGTGGAGCCCAAATTGCGCTTTAATAGTCTGGGTTATTAAACACGAAAGTGTGACAGGCGATTAAACGTACGCTAAAGACACTTCTCAGTTACCAAAAGTATCGAAAACCAAAAGACATTTTTGAAGACCACATGGTGGTAAAGTGTAAAGTGCAGTAGATGCAGCATCGCCAATGATGAACAAATTTAACTTATCACTAGAAGGGTGTAAGGAACAAAGAAAAACAGACAGAGAAAGAGCAGAATACCTTTTTTTCTTTCCATTAAAATTTTTATAAGTTTTCCCAGTACATCTGATGCTGACAATGCGCGAGACCAAGGATCTCTGCGGGTTAGGGGAGGATGGAGAATGTCTACTCGTTATTAACAGATACCCTATAGATCACGTTTGTTTTAAAACCTTGCTTTCATCTTGATCGCCGGGCTCTTTGCACATCATTGAGGATAATAGAGGATGTTATGTACAGCAAACCTGAGCCTTTGGGTTGGAGAATGTGTGAATAGAACATTAGCTCTGACAAATACGCTACACTCGAAATGCCAGCTTTAGAAATTCTTTTACAATGGCAATTTTACATTATCAACTCAGTTGATAAAACCGAATTATCTTGTCCCCAGGTCAGTTGCCTTTCCTATTGATGCGATCGAGTTTAACCAAAGGATATCGTCTTGAAGGTTTGTGATTTTTTATTGAGTTGTAAGTACCTCTCTATAAGTAATACTGAACTAAAACTAAAAACTAAACTGTATGATTCAATAATCTCTCTCCTATTCATCCGAGGCTTAAGAACAAACTCTAGCTTAGCTGACGCTTCAGTCTTGATCATATGAAGCCAAAAACTTCTCAGGTTTAGAACACCATTTACTGGATTATTCTCGACCAGAAGAAAGCAAATGCTTTCATCTGCCAATGATCAGTCCAAACCGCAATACCATACACTGATACATCTAACTGACGGTACAAAATTGTGCAAAAAGCATACAGCGTTATGAAAAACCACCCCTAAAATCTGATTTCAGATAGTGTTGCAAAGTCCCGCCGAGTAACTACTTTTCATTTGTCCAAAAAACAAAATTAAGGCATAAAAGTCTTATCAAAAGCAAAAAAAATTGCAATAGAATTTAGACAGAGAATTTGAATAACAGGATTGTGGTGCTAGACTAAAATATAAAATTATTGTAGCCAGAATACAAAGCTTCATACAATAAAGTTAAGTGTTAGAATAGCTAGACTTTGATAAATAAAAAGGTATATTGTAGCCAGATTACAAAGATTCATCTAATAAACCTTCTGCTAGAATCAGATTTGAAGTTTTTTGGAATAAAGTTGACCGACGTGACTCCAGCTAACTAACTTTAACTGACTTTAACTAACACTATTGCGATTACTTCAGTTTGACTTAAGGGCGATTTGAATTATCCGTAGCACTTCATTTGTTATTACAGTTCCCTGATTCAAGGTGTTTTGGCCGCAAAAAGAACGGCACTTGAGCAACAAACTCGTCATCTACCGGCTAATAGCTTCCCATTGAATCATCGCGACGATGAGGTGATAAATATAAAATATCACCAAACGTATTGAGAAGTTTTAACTTGTAAAACGTCTTTTCCCTCTTCATAGTGACGACGAATCTGAAATTTAAGCATGATATGAAATGAGATTGACTATTTAGGACACAGATGTTATATATTTGATTTGCTCTGCCCCGCTGTATTGGTTGAATTGCATCACTGGTAGTCCAGTTCTTGAACACTCCATTCTGCATGGTATACGGGTTGAACCCGGGAGAACGAAGAGAGTGTGGGTTCAAACTCAGCCAAAGGAAGGGTTTAGAACCTGGACTAATGCGACTTTCAAAAAGAACACGGTACCGAAGAGGCAGTATTCAGTGTCTAGAGACGATCTCGTGCATTCTACATTACTGGTTCATTTTGAGGCTATCCTCTGCTTTCGTATTCAGTGGTTTTCTGTATATTATTATTTTCTTACCTTGCTTCCACACTGTTTGATCTATATTTCAATCTCTCTTTTCCTTTCTTTTGGAAGTTTTCTTCAAATCTAATTGGAAGGAAATACAGTGGCTTAATTACTGATTAACTATGGTGACAACGTGGATAAAGGATGAGATAAAATATACGAAGTGCATAGGAAAAGGTTCTGCGATAACTGTAAATCTAGTAATGCACAAAATTTAGTGCAGTAAGTCTAAGGGTGACATATTACTTAGGCATGGACTTTTACTAAAAAATCGGCGAGGAGTAAGTACGATTTTGCACGATTTTTACCTTTATCAGCCAAGGTGCCTATTTCCTTGCTTGTGAGAGCTTTCTCCCAGAGAGCGATATTATCTATCTCCAATGGTACTCTAAACTTTGGAGAGTGAGAATTGTTTGGTCTTCCAACTTGCAACGTGGAGAAAGAATCTTTCGGACTTGAAACACCCATAGCTTCTCCCCTGGCCACTTCCTCTCCGTTTATGTACAGTTTAAGTAAACCCTTCTTCTCCCAAGAGAAGGCGATGTTGAACCATCCATCTGGAAGGTCGCGTGTTTCAAGCTTCCACTGGTTATCTTTTGTGCTGAGTATGAGGATGTAGCGGTTGAGAATATGAAGGAGAGCGAACCCTCGAGCCTGGGTGGTCTGACCTCCGCTGGACAAGAAATACGAGCTGGATTTCTTGTGAAAGTATTTCTTGTCAAGTTTAAGCGAAGCCATCATCGTTATCCCGTGATTTCTACAGTGGTCTGGATCGCTGAAGCATTTTCCTGGCGAGAAAGAGTGATAACACGTAACGTGGAAAAACCCTTCACAATCTACACATCAATTCTCTGCACTTTCTGTTAAACTTTTCTTAAAACTTTAGCTATGAAAATTTTGTGTTGAATCCAAAAATTCTCCCTAGTTGATATTTTCCTCTCTTCTCTTTACCCTCTGCTTGAGATGTATTGATTTAACAAAGAGAAACTCCTTTGTGGTCACTCCTAATAGTGAAAGGGTCCATATAGAGCTACATGTACTACTATTAGTTTTACAAACGGTTCTCTCTTCATGACTCATTACCTGTAAAGTCTCCGAGAGAAATCCATCCTCTTGCTTTACCGGTGTCGGCTACCAAACCCCGCCTAGTCCCTGAGACAACACGCGATCCTCCCATGAGCCGCGCTGGACGCTTTTGAACAGCATCATGGGATATGTACGTGCCCGATGCATCTTCAAATGACCAGAAAAGATCAGCCGACCGAAAATCTTTGGGAACTGTTAGGGGAAAGGATACAAAACTTTTAAGTTACTTGTGGTTTAGCTACTTCCTCCTGGCCTATTAAAACTTTAGTTTAATGGTTAAGGCATTGTGTGATAAGGGTCCATGTTGATACCCGCCCAATGCTAGAGGGGCCACCCTGCTGAAATAAAGATGACTTGATTGATCCTTTTTTTTTCACATTCACAGTTGTCTCTCTAAATTTCACTCTTTTATCCCGTCCCAACAACCTTCAGTTTGATATGATCTCGGGCTAGGTCGCTGCAATTAATTTCGTGCCCAGAACCTACCTGTAACTGTAACTGACATGTAGGGGCCATTGGCCGTGGAAGGTCTAGGTACTAAACTACGCTGCAGCTTACAGAAAGGTTACAAGTCATCATGTGGATTGTGGGCTATCATTCATAGGGTTCTATTTACTGGCAAGTGCTCAAGGGAGGAGGAACCTGAATTTCATTTCGAAATGAAACCATTCTGTAAGTTTAGAATTTGAAATGTCATCAATATCTTTGATCGTGTGTTCTGATCATCCACGTGAGTGTAGTCCTGAGAAGGACTGTTGTCGATAATGGTGACTGACAACCTGGGAAGAAGTCATCAACAGAGTCGCTTTCTAATATCTTACCAGCATTGGCTTCTTTGACTTTCGAGTTCTTCAAATTCGTCGTCAAAGGCTTTTTCTTGAGAATGCCTCCTCTTTTTTTGCCAACTGCAATTTGTACATAACAAAGTCAAGTTCAATCCTACACTATGATAGATAATTTATAACATAACCAAAGTGAAGCGCGCGCTCTGATTGGTCAATTTAGCGTCCCCCATTTGCCCATGGGTGTACGCTGCTGACGTGAGCAAATGCAAAGACTATTTTTACGCGCGCGCTTGTTTTTTCTGGTCCCGTAAGATTTGTTAAATAAAAGGGAACTCTTTAGCTACAATGCATCAATGTTATGTTATAAAACAAATGGTAAACACCACAGCGTACACTATTGAGTTATGGATGCACTTGGGAGGTTTGCTAAGCACTCAAGAAGCTAGAGTCGCTCTCGGCTATCGCCTCGATCGACTCTTACGCTTCTTTCGTGCTTAGCAACCTCCCGCGTACATCCATAACTCAATTGTGTACGCTGTGGTGTTTACCATTTGTTAAATCTGTGTTACAAGCAGTGGCATCTCGCTAAAGAGGAGCACCTCAGAACAATCTCTATATTTTCCTGTTGCGACAGATTTTTTTTCAGTCAGTGGCACAGGAGTACACGGCAAAAATAATCAGTTGACCGAATCAATATACGATCTATTAAAACATTAGATACGCACCTCGTACTCGACGCGTACTTTTCATCTTCTGTAAAAGCTTTCTCAGTTTCTGCTGTTGTTGGACAAACAACAATCTCTTTTTCCTTTGGAAAAGCATGAAGCTCTTGTTTGCGCGCTGTTGCCTAAGAACGAGCATGCGCTGTCTTCGTTTGTTCTCCTTTAACTGCTTCTGATATCGGAACCAATGGACTCGAGCGTTACTCGCTCGTTTCATCAGCTGTCTCCTCTGGGCTCGCATTATCCCCAAGTATTTGTATTGCCGATTTCTCTTGTAGTACACCATCCTCTTCGCCACACTGATCAACTGTTTCCTTATAACTGAAAGCTGCGCTCTCGCTCTTCGTTGACGCGCCTTGACTCTGAATGCCTGGAGACGTAATCTCGACGCTCGTTGTCTTCTCCTCAGGTATCTTGATCTGAGTATCCTCTGTCTCAGAGCGATTTTCCGCTTGATCTGAAGCATCCTTTGCCTTATTAACAGTCTCATGCGCGGCGCTTGCGCTCTTTGACGCGCGCGCAACATGGCTAACTGACGATACCGCCTCTGAAGTTTCAGCTTGGCCATTTGAAGAGCGCGGGCTCTCCTTTGTTGAGCAATTAACTTCAGTCTTCGCATGCGCTGCTTCATTCTCAATCGCAACGACCTCATGGCCCGTCGTCTAGCTCGCTGGATTCTTGCTCGCTGTCTTGCTGCCTTCAATCGCACTAATCGTAGTTTCAGGCTTAACCTGCGTCTCTTTATTTTCCTCTTAATTTTTTGCATTCTTTTAACCAAGACTTTTTTTGCTTTTCTTGCCACCTTGAGGCGTTTAATGTTGCCCAGTTGTTTCAAACGACGGACCCGCACAACAACTCGGACCGCCTTCCTCCTCAAAACCCTAAGTCGTCTGATTCGTTTTATTATCCTCAATTTAAGTTTTCTTGTTCTTGCCACTCGCCGCTGCTTTCTCTTTACTCGTCTTACCCTTCTCCTCGTAGCTCGTATTTGCTTCATTCGTTTTCGTTGCCTTGCTTTCCGAGATCGACCCTTAACTCCTTCAAAAAACAAATAGACAAGCTTATTTATTACATTTGATCAAAGATGCACGAGCTAGTGACTAGTTTCCAGTCGCTTACACTACCAAAGGATCTCGTACCTTATGTTTGGCCGCGTGCAAAATGGGGTCAAATATGAGAGAAAGGTTGGTAAATTTTCAGAGTGAAAAGAAATAGAAAAAGTAAACATTTTTCCTGTGTTTTTATTTTACCCTGATGAGTTCCTAACAGAAGAACTTTCAGTTGACAGACGTAACTTTGTTAAAAAGAAGAGTTAATCGTTTGTCTTCAGGAAAGTTAATCTGTACGCCCTAGACCTTAAGCACTAGACCCAGGTTTCCTTGCTCAAAACAAAAGCCACTGAAGGGAAGTGCAATGTGTACGACTCTAAACATATCAATGGCTACAGTTTTGCCTAAGCCTGCCAGGCCTAATAGGCGTGTTGGTTAGAATTCCCAAAAACGGTATTTAATTCAAAGAGAACCAAAGCCAATATACTACTTACCTTTTCTCAACGGTCGTCTGTAATGACCTACAAAATGATCATTGCCATGATGAATTTATAGCACAGATAACAAAACTACTATATTTGTTTGGTTTAATTTACCGACAATAAGAATAAATCTACGGTGGTCAGTGATATTTATCACGAGTGACACTATCTTGTGAACATATCACTTGATACTGACAATCATTGGCTTCTTTTGACACTAAAGAGTGATTAGCATCTAACTTTTTGTACCCTTGACTACGATCAACGACTGTCGTTATATTATCTACCTTTTCCTATCATGTAAGCATCAATGAAACGCGATCCCCCTGCGCCGGCCCTGAAGCGACCCTTGATTATTGGTCTGGTTATATATGCTCTAGATGATCGAGTTCCATAGCAGATTCCATTGCGGCGTAGAGCGAATGCTTTGTAACCTCGGCGTTCTGCTAAGAGGGCGCAGCTGTACACCTTCTTTCTCCCTGTCACCCTGCCCAGCCTCGTACCCAAGCCTCTTCCTTTTAGCGATCTGAATCGTCCTAGCCAACGGTAATGCCAGGCAAAGCCTCCTTTACGAGGCCTAGGGCGAGGCTTGAAACGCCCTGATTAAATCAAAAGAAAACTGACTGACACCAATCACCAGCAAGGGCCTCGTAAATGGCGCTTACTGACATGTTTAATTTGATGCTAATCAACAAATAGGGTCAAAAGGCAGTTTATAACAGTTAGCCCGACGTTTTCATGGAAAATCAGTAAGATCTCTACACATTTCTGTTGAATAATACTGTCAATGAAAGTAACGTAAGGTCCTATCTGATGTTCGAGTAGTGACTGAGCAGATGATTTTCAGTGAGGCTCCCTAGATAGACGCGTCACAAGTTTCTTGCGGTGCCAACAATTTCTGAATGGCTCACTATCAAAGGACTCTCTAGGAGCTTCAATCGTAAGGGTATTCAACACAATCAGAATCTGCTCCCCAAACGTTAAGCTTTCTTATGCTGTATCTTACCTTTCCTGATCACATAAGCATCTATAACACGGGATCCACCTGTGCTCGCCATGAAGCGTCCAAACACCCGAGGTTTAGTAGAGTAAGTTGATGAATATCTTGACACGTAACAATCTCCTCGGTTGCGCAAAGCAAATGCGCGGTATCCCATCCTTTTGGCGCGTCGTGCGCATTCAAACACTTTCCTTTTCCCTCTCATCCTTCCAATAAATCGACCCAAACGTGTTGAAGTGGGTGATTTGTAGCGGCCGACGTATCGATAATGCCACACTTTCGTCTTTGGTCGAGGTCGTAGAGGCCCTGCAGGTCACATAAAAATAATTTACTCTTAAGTGAGTTCTATTATAAAGCTTCCACTTACGGTTTCACGTCGAAAAATGTCTGCGACTCGAACAGGCAGTCGATATCGAAAAGGCTGAAAAATGACGGTTTTCTCGTGTCACGAACTTTCGCAGGGCTATGCGGGAAACACTAGCAACAATTCAGTGAAAGATACAAGTGGAGATGTTGACCTCAAACCTTCTGCTGTAATCCATCCTTTAACAAGGACGCGAAGTATCTCCTGAATACTACGTTTCATCCTAAAACAATTGCCTAAATGAAGCCACAAGTTTTTGTCTTTCGATCGCAAAAATGCATTTCGTGAAAGTTACGCAACAATTTCGTCGACATTTGGCTTAAGCGGTTCAGTGATAATTGTCTGCCAAAGTTTTCTAAACGACCCTTGTTGTGAATAGAGGATAACAACGCTTTTCACTATATTAAAAATGTCGCCGTGTTAATCAAGGTATGCTGTTGCTATGGATTCACAAGGAAGTTCGTGAGATGCACAAACGTTTTTCAGTTCTGTGGTTGAAACCGAAGATCCAGTTTCGTCTTTAACTCACCTCTTCCAATTTTGTAAACAACCATTCCTCTAACGCTAAACGTTTTACCAAATCTTGTTAGTGGTGAACGTAAGTTTGCTCCATAGCAGTAACGTCTACTTCGTACTCCAAAATAGCGATATCGTGCCTTTCGCGCCATAATAGCGCACTGCTTGGCGGAGTTTAATTTGGGTCTGACCGTGCCTAAGTATCTACGGCCTGGAGATGAACGGCCTCGTGGTACTTTGTAGGTACCAAGGCGACGATAGTTCCATATGCGTCGCGACGGCCTGGGCCGAGGCCGAGGTCTGGAAGTACCTTAAGTTGTAAATAACAGCATTATTTTTTGTGCATTTATACATAACACGCACACGGGTACGGCTTCAAGCCTTCAAAGTAAAGATTGTCACTTATGTAAGTCTTCAAAACCAACTCCAGCTTTTTGCTAAACCACGCTCTCTCATAATAGAAATCTTTGACTACCCCAAGCCACTGAACTTAAGCAATTTTTCTCTTTAGTGTGGCAATTCATGAAAATAAAATATCTACAAACTGTTTTCACGATCATGACAGACAATAGAAATGGGGTTGTTATCCTAGAACCTAAGGAAAAACCTACGTTGTACTACTTAGAGACAGCTGAGTTGCACAATAAACTGGAACGCTAGCCTGGAGTTAACAATTTTCTGTGTTATTGAGGAATCTGCGATAATTTACAACAATACACGTTGGTCGTATGTTTCAACTAAAAAACTATGAATCTCAGTTAAGAATCAGCACACACCTTTTCGTATCACGTAAACTTTGAGGCCCCCTACTCGAGTCCTTCCGCGCCGTGTAAACTTGACAGATGTCATTTTAGACAAGTAGCAACTTACTCCGGCACGGATGGCAAATGCTCTTGCCCTTCGCGCTCGAGCCAAGCGGTAGCACTCCCGTAAAGTGGACGAACGTCGTCTGAAAATGCGAACAGCTCTTCCCAATCTGCGAGGCGTGCGGTACCTTCCAATGTACCTGGGTGCAGATCTTCTTCCTAGAATCAAATATCTGCTGTTCAGATTGAAGAAATGAAAAACAACACAAGCAGTACAAAGATGTCAGCATTTGTCGGTTGGACAAAGAGCAAAATTTGCTTCACTTTTTTAACAATGCTAACATCTTTATTCAATGATTGAGTACATGTCTTACCATCTTGTATAGATGGTAAGACACACGATGCTTGCCTCATGGCTGCTCCTAATAATTATCATCGCTAGCACAAAGAAACGATAAAAAGCTAGTGACCTGATCCATATAATGGATGGGAATTGTAATCTTATCTTTGCATCCGAGATCGAGAGCTGCCTACGCACAAAGAATCACTGAACTCTCATGTACCTACCTGGTAACCTCGGCCTCGGGCGTGGCCTGGGCCGGGGGCGTATAGGTTTACCTGCTAAGATAAACAAAAGATAAGCAACAAATTGGAATTCGGGAAACGCCAGAAGAGCAAAGGTGTAAGAATAATTAAAAGTGTGTCCGGTACTTACCAGTTGTGCTTACATAGACTTGGAGAGCACCAGGTCTCATCAATCGCCAACGCCCATACCTCGTAAACTTCGTACTTGTCAAGCGCGCTACGTAACATTGTCGGCCGTACCGTAAGGCAAATGCTCGGTAATTTCCGGTTCTTGCTATCTTTTCACATCTCCTTCGTATGTTAACTTTACTTCTAAATGTTATGATTGGTCGTCTGAGTATACGACTGGGTGGTGGACGGTACACTCCGACGTACATATATCTTTTACGTCCTGACAAAAAAAAAAGGGAGAAAGTTTCTAAAGAAGCTGTGGTGCTGCGTCGGTGGGGGTATTACAAGATGATTTCTTTTTAAAAACTGAGTTGATAATGTGAATTGGCCACCGTAAGGGAATCGATAGCTAACCTCCCGACCGTAAGTCCTTCGTCAAAAGCGTTTTTTTGTTGTATTTTTTATTTTATTTTTTTTTTGATAATAAAAATTAACGGTAAAAAACTACGACGTTTCGAAGTCTGCATGACCTCATTATCAAGTAAAATGTTAAAACTGATGTAAAATTGTAGTTCAGAGATTATATACAAATAAAAATGTGACAACTTCATTAGAATAATGAGCGTTCATTGTCATTGGTGTTTAGCATGTCAGATCGTGCAGTATATGTTCAAATAAATACTTTTGCACGTATTGAGTCAGACTGCGTGTTTAGCTTTGGTTTTTGTTCGCGAATGAATAGCATTTCGTGAATTAGGCAGTCCATTTTTCCGCGGCATTTCTTGAGAACGGAAAACATTTCCTCTAGGCTAGTGGACGCTACACTGTGGGCTTCTTTCAGATGCTTGCCAATGACAGAGGCTTTATGTTCTTCTATGCGTTGATGAAGATGGCGTGTGGTATAACCGATATAATCCGCATCGCACGAATCACATTTAAAAGTGTAAACAACGCATTGGTGGTTAATTAAAGCGGGCTTCTCTTCTTGTATCTTGAGCTTTCCCTCGATCTTACGACTCGTGAAAACTGGTTGTAGGTCAATTCCGATTTTCCGGCCAAGATCTTTCAGCTGATGTCTTACTGTGTCGGCCGATTTTTGGTCTTTAAATGGTAAAGTTATTCTGACAGGTTTTTGTGTAGCCGCGTCAAGTTCAGTTGGGGTTTCGTGACGGCTTTGGACTTAGTTTTTTACCGTTTTTTACGTAGTTTTTTACCGTTAATTTTTATTATCAAATGTATTTCTAAACATTCTCTTATTATTTTTTTTTTATTTTTTCAATCTAATTTCCAAAAAGATTGCTCCCGTTTTCTTAATTCAAAAGTTTTTTTGCAGGTTTTCTCAGTACCAAATTCAAAACAGAAAACTTACTTGGCCGAGGCCTAATTCGAGGTCTTGGACGTGGTCTAATTCGAGGTCTCGGACGTGGCCTAATTCGAGGACTCGGACGTGGCCTAGGGCGAGGTCTGATTCGAGGTCGTCCTCCTGTAAGGAACATAACACGAAATGACCACAATGTTACTATGAAACAGTATCATGGCTGTTCAAAGGACACGGTGCATCCAAATTTGTTTATGGTCTTGCTCGCCATCAGTTCCCTTTTCAGCTGCTTAGACTGAGAAATCCGTCTGACATGCGAGAGGCAACTCAGCCGACTCATTAAAGATTTTCAATTGCTCTCTCCGGACCTTTCCGTTTTGCAAAAGGCTCTTTATTGATTTTTACTTTTAATTAGACAATGAAGGAGAGACCTCCGCTCTTGCTCAGAATTTAGCCAAAACACGCAAGCATGGCATACAGCCATGACTTCTACGTTGAGACATGGAGATTGATATCTGCATAATTCTTTTTCATTTGAAAGATACGTTTTTGTATTAAATAAAATCCCACAATGTTTTTGAAACCAATATAGACTTTTGTCCTTACTTGGTCTCGGTCGGGGTCTTGGCCTGAGTCTTGGTATGTTGGTAGCTCCTGAAATAAGAAAACAAAAACGTATTTTTTTTTTCCCTGACTGACAGCATAATTGACATCATTTAAAACTGGAAGAAGGATGAAATATAGGGTGAAAATTACATTCCAAAGTTTGCAATTAAGAGAATATTCATTCTTACTTAACAATGACCTAGTACGTGTAAAACAAAACGTGCAGAGGGGCATAATTTATTACAAGTGAATTCACCACGATGAAGAACGGCAACCTCTTTTTTTCGATACTTTTGAAATATAATTTGCTCTTTACTTTCTCATGCACAAGATTTTCGCTTAAGAGCTACAACTTTCCACATTACTCGCCAAATTATCTTATCTTGTATTTACCTCTGGCTACGTAAACCTTCAGGGCACCAGGCATTTTCGTTCGAGGACGACCGAGCCTCATAAACTTGCGAGGATTGTTTTTTACGATGTAGCACTGACGACCAAACCGCAAAGCAAATGCCCACGCGCGGCGCATGCGCGCTAGACGTTGACAGTTCTTTCTTGCATTCTTCAAGCTTTTTAGTGTTACTGCAGGGTTACCAAGTTTTCTTGGAGCACGATATGTTCCATACTACCTATATTTTCCGCCTTAAAGGAAGAAAAACAAACGTTATTAACAATTCCTTTCTCGGCTCACTCAGGTATCAACAAAGGAAGTGGTTTGTACAAAAACAAAGCATCCTTTTTGCTGTAAAACAGTGCCATACCTGGAGGCGGCCTTGGTTTTTTCCTCGGTCTTCTCAGTCCAACTAAAAAGAGGAGCAGAAGACTGTCAGCTGTAGCCAAACACAATTGAAAAACTGGAAACTTGAGGCAGCGAGGTATTTTACAATAATTCACCAAAGGGAAAGAGGATTTTGTGGAAAGTTTGATTGGAAATAAGACGTCGACCAGCATTGCACGACTTGATGTTCAGTTGCCACTCTATTATCAGTATCAACCAACCTGGTCTCCTTGGCCTTGGCAAAGGTAATTTAACTGGTCGAGGTTTACGTTTCACTGTTGGCCTGGGACGAGGCCTTGGCCGAAGTGGTCTGGGCGTGATGCGACCTGATGAACCATAAAATTACCGTCATGTATTAAAGCAGATATTCTTTATTTGTTCCAAAGATAGAGACACGTACTAAAACATGAAAGTTTTCTCATTTAAGAGGAATAGATGTTCTTATCACCAACCTCTGGGTTTAATGTAGACCTTAATGTAGGTTCTAGGCCTCCTCGACTTGGTTCGACCGGAGACCATAAATTTACGAGGGCCTCTGCGAGAGAGAAAACATAGACGACCACCAAACACTGCAAATGATCGGAAACGATCTCGCCGGGCAATTCGCTCGCATATCTTGCGTCCGTATATGGGATTCTTAATTCGAATTGGTCGGCCAAGATATTTGAGGGGTGGAACTTTGTAAGCGCCAGCATATTTGTACGGACTTATTCCACCTATTGGTAACCAAAAGAAAATGGTGATGTAGGTACATTAAATAATCGATGGTTACTTAAATGATAGGCCCTTAAGATGATGTAAGGGAGAGAAACGGAAAAGTAGAAGAGGAATTCAACCCTATTTTCGGGGTAACTCTTTTCAGCCTGGTCGCTCATTACTACCGAAGCTTATCCTGATTTCTGTGGAATGACGGAAGTAAGCGTCACCTAGACTAGCCGTTAGTATATTGCAGGTAACCTGGAAGAAATTCGTCGAGTTTCCCCTAACGGTCGACAAGCACCCATTTGAACTCCTGGGTAAGGGGAGCTACTTCGAGAAAGAAATGTCTTTCCAAAAGCAGGACAGAGTCGGGACACCACGACTCAAAACCAGCCCCTGACAACCGGGCGTCAAAACAGCTCTTTCTCCTTTGAGTGAGTTTTTCTTATAAATAAAGTCGTCGCTTTCAAGAAACTATTACTGATAATTATACCGGTTAAACCGGTTAAACGCACCTGGCCGAGGTCTTCCTGGCAGAGGACGAGGAACAGTTTTGGGAGCTAAGAGAGTTATACATACAAAAAAGATCTAGTCAGAATATTATAACGAGTTATCTTTAATCTGGTGGAGAAGACTGTCTTTAAATCCTATCAAATTTGGCTTATCCTCATGGATTGAATTATCAGGGCTATGACGGCTTTTTCTCGCCAATTACAATCCTTTTTAAGTACACTTGATCCCCTGTCTTTGAGAATTTTTGCCAAGGTTTTAAAAACTCTTCAAGTTCATCAAGGTTTAGAGTCAAAGAACAACTAAGCTTTTACAAAGTTTCTCCTAATCTTATAACATAATTGCATTTGAACCAGCAGTCCTAAATTTTTAATTATTGTTTAGGTCTGAGAATATTTTAGGTAAAAGGTGTTATTGGAACGAAAACGTTTGTCAAAGGATTGTTGAAATTCGTTGTATTTCAGCACAACTTAATTTTTTGTTCCAACTATTGATGGCTCATACCTTTGCAAGCTTTCTCCTTGATCGACCTGACGATGTTGTACGCGGTTTTAAAGTGTGACGCAAACACGTGTCTCCTTGTGGTAGCCATCTGTCGCAGTTGCGTGACACTAAAACTTCGACCCAGACCTACCGCGATTAACGTCACGCCAGCACGCCGTAACATTCGCGCGGGAGCCATGACAGAGTCAAGTGACTTGCCAGTGGAGATCACTATGGCAACTTTCGGCCTTGTGGTGCGTGAGAAGAGTGTTGCTGCGGCATATTTCAACGCTTTTCCCGCCAAAGGAGCACCCTTCATGTACGGCACACGACCCAGCACACTAACTAACTTTGCCTGATTTGTGAAGCGGTTGAAGTCGAACAATTTTCGGGGATTAGTGCTGAATTCCACCATGCCAAAACGAGTGATTGAGGTAGACACAGAGAATGATGACACGATTTGTTTCAAAAAGTTGCGAATGTGAAGGAAATTTTTGCCAACTTTTGCAGAGGCGTCCACTATAAAGGCAATGTCTACAGGACGAGCACACACTGAAAGAGTAAAAAAGAACAAATGAATATTGCATGTGGTCTTTATACAAAAGCAAAAGTTGGCTGAGCTTTTAACTATTCCAAGTTGACTATTAAGAGAAATTTCATCAAAACGATCCCCTTTAGTTCAGTTTGTTCCATTTTCAGTTCGTTTCAGAAACGAAGCCATTCATATCATATTTGATGCAATAGCCGGGGTGAGATATAGATTTAAAATGTATTTAAATGGCATATGAATGTCGAAACGATATCATCAATGTCAGATTTATAATCGCTATACATACCTTTCCCATGCGGCCTCGGCTTTGGAAATTTTGGCATTATAACTGCAGTTAATGATGAAAAATAAAATATTTTACTAAACAGTGTTAATTCCAAAATGCACAAAAACCGTGTTAGTGGACTGTGTAACTGTTATAAACATTGAATATTTTGTTTCCACTTTAAGCTCGATTGGTTTCAATTGGAGTACTTTCGCATTAGCTTGATTAAACTCAACTTAATTTAAGTTTATTTGTGATCTTAAAATTGTCACTTACTTCCTGGCGGAGGCTTCACAAAAGGTCTGGGACCTAAAATAACATCAAAATAAATACTTGAATGCCATGTACACCTATTGTGGTGAAGGTGCCATCGAAAAGAGAAAAAAAAATGCAAAAATCTACACAGAAATCGGCCAGCTAGGAACTAATCAGGCCAAAGTTAATTTTTGATGTTTGTTTTTTAGAGATTGTACATATATGAAAGTTACAATAAGATTGGAAAGAAGACTTGTAAAAAATTTTTAAATTTGCTAAATATATATCATTTAAAACATGTGTTAGAGTACTATGGTCTGAATATTTTAAACCCGAGTCTTTCTCATATCTGCTTTTCATCTCCTATTACTCAATTCATTAAAATATATATTTTTTATTGTTCATCAGCATGGTGTTGCCACGAGAACTTTCGCTACACCACGTTACCTGTACAAGCTTTCCGTTTAACTGCTTTCGCAATGGACATTAGAGTTCTGTAGCTTGAAGTGAACACAGCACCGGGTCGTTTTCCCGCCATTTGTCGCAGTTGTCCAATATTCGGTGCTCTTCCGGTACCAATAGTGATAACTTCGACGCCAACACGACGTAGGGAGGCTGCAGGGAAGACAACATTATCGTAGGACCTGTCGTGTGTTATGACAAAGAGTACTTTTCTGCCTCGCGAGCGACCACTAAACAGATTGGTCTTGACGTACATGAGGGCGGCACCGGTTCGAGGCCCGCCTTTAAAGAAAGGAGCGCTGCTAATGGCGCTTAGCATACTCCTTCTTCTTCCTCTGAAACTGAAAGGAATCGTTGTGTTGTGGGATTAAACATGATTTGCAAATATAAAAGCAGGATGTCATCCCTTTTGCTCAACTCAGCAACCACACTGGAAATAAGGTAATTTGATAATATCAACTAAGTTGAAATTGTAAATTGGCCAGCGTAAAGAGTTAAAAAGCTGAAGTTTCGATCGTTAGCCCTTCGTCTCTCGTTTCGAGCGTTAGCCCTTCGTCGCTCGTTTCGAGCGTTAGCCCTTCCATCCCTCTGACGAAGGGCTAACGCTGGAAACGTCAGCTTTTTAAGTCTTTACAGTGTGGCCAATTTACAATTTCATCTTAGTTGATATTACCAAATTACCTTGTTACCCCCATCGACGCAGCACCACAGTTTCTTTAGAAACTTACCCTCTTTATTCACACTGGAAGTAGCCAACTAAGTCAGTTTTTTTTCTTTAGTTAGAGAACAGTCATTATTTATCGCCCAGGGTAGGAAGTGGATAGTTTTTAGAGGGATCAAATAGTTTTCAGGGGGAACAGGGGGAATCATTCGTCACCAATGGAGTATAAAGGTGAAGCTATAGAATATTGATTGTCGAGAAACTGCCAATAAGGGGGAGGGGGGATCATTAGATTTTGAAGGCCATCAGGGAGGTCAGGTAAATTTTGTCCTGACGCAACCAAAATCCTTCAAACCTCCCCCCGATGATACCGGCGAGAAATAGTGACCAGTCCCTCTTGTTTAACTTGAATCATTGGCTGGTAATACAATGATTGTAATACTATGAAAATACGACGATCACCTGTAAAATCCGAAGACTTTTGTAGCGCGCTTGGAATACGACACGAGACCAAACCTGGCACGCGGGAATGACACAACAAGTCTCTTGATGAAACGAAGAGTGCGCTGGAAGTTACTGGAGCTTATTCTTCCGCTCTCCAACAAGAACGCTATGTCCAGTCTCTTTTGGCAAGCTTTGGAATGATGAAAACATTAAACTCAGGTTTGAGAACTCGTCAAAAGGCTTATGTGCATACAGAAGTATCAAGTCGCAAGTGGAAAATATCATTGTATACCATTCGAGAATTCTTTTTATTTTCCGATTGTTGTAAATTCAGGAAACCCTGACTCGGAGAATTTAGGGTTGGAAAAGTACATTTTATGTCTTTTTTTCATTATTTAGAGATCAGAAATTGGTCGCTTTTACATAGAAAAATTATTGAGGTTAAGACTGACCTGGTCTGATTGGTTTTGGTGCAGATGACACTGGAAGAGGACCTTTACAAGACAAAAAGAAAAAAATTATTTAACTTAAAACATGAATTTCAAGCTTTTTTAATTCTTGCGTCACAAATCAAGGGAATTACATAGAGTTATTAATGAATGTGGCTCCTGCTCTTCGCTCGCAATCAAACCTGGTGTCCAGTCTTGCTCGACTTCTAACGTGTTACTTTCATTTCACATAAAGAAAAATGGAAATTTAATATATTTTAAGGAACCTCATTTGCTGTGTCCTGTGTCATAACCACTCTTAAGCATTCAAGAGTCTTAATATAAGGGATTGAAAAGAAACTGAACCATACCATCACCAAATTAAAGTAGTTAAACAAAAAAATTAATTCTGAAACACCAAAAAACGCCCAAGAAATCTCACAACCACTCCTACCGCGTGTTCTGTAGCACATCTTCTTTCTTACAGCAATTTGCCTTCCTGTCAGAGCAGTGTTGTAGATCTGCAGACAGGCCAAACGTCCTTTGAAACCCCTGTGACCCTTTATCTTGGCACCAAGCCTAACAGGATAATTGGTGGCCAGTCGTATCTTCCCGATCAGTTTTCGTCTGACCAGTCGATTATTTACATAAAGTCTCGCCACGCCTGTTCTTCGATTGTATACCGCTGTCACGTAATTCCAGCTTCTGCGGTATATTCTATAGATGAGAGGTGAGGTTAGGCGGCGTCCTCGGCGTCGGACAAACCTGACGTACAGTTGCGTCGGGCTGACCATCCAAATCTGCATTCCCTGTCCATTAGGGTTATAATTAACAAGCGGACCTGGCCCTTGGGGGTACACCCATAGGGATACTGTAATGGAATTCACAGTGTCTAGTGCACCGTTGTTTGGAAGGTGTATGTAACTGTTCGGGCGGCCAAAGAACTGATACGAACTTCTTTTCTTTCCGTCGGGGCCCGGAGCCGGACGAACACTACCGAGGATGGCCCGAGGGTTTTTGCGAGCGCTCATGTCCCGTCCTTTAGTGGCAGCACTCAGTGGGTAGACGGCGACCGGGTTATAGGATGCTGCAAGTAGAAGGAAAACATTTGACAATACGCATTAGTGTTAAAACAATCTTACAAGTACCGGTTAGGGCTTTGTGTATTTAAAATCTCTCTCTTGGCATAGAAATATGATAAAACGGTTACTTACGTCTGGGAGCAGTGGGCCGTGTTGGTCTGAGGGTTGGCCGCGGACGAACTGAAGGTGGAGCTAACGAATAACAAAAATGCTACTTAGTTCTAATCAACTTTTGCCCATCAACGCCATACTTCCATATGAACTTTATCATTTGGCAAGTACAACGTCACTGACAAAACAGGGTCTCCCATTAGGATTGCACAAATTTCCTGCCGTGTGGTAAAGCGGGTGAACTCGCCTTTTGATTCTTGTAAATACGATTTTCGATCCGGAATCACTAGGGTGCGTGTAACAATTGTTTGTGAGATAACCTGGTTTTATCCAATCGAATTTGCCCTTTCACAAGGACAAACGACAGAAAATGCCTATTACGGGCATGCTTATTTCCGTTTAACAAATTATTTAGCCTGCATTCGCGCGCTTCTTTTTCAGAAAGTTAATATGCTAAATGCAGTGCTTTACATTGAATATATATATCCCGAAACGATAACTTTCAGCCTCATCAAAGTCGCACTGCACATTGTAGATGAGGTGCTCCTTCAAACAGAAGTAAAGAAAACAAAAACAAAATGGTAAACTAGATGAATAATTAAAGATAATCCTCTTGAAATGCTTTATAACTCACCTGCCTTGAAACATTTCTTAGCTGCACGCCGCACTTGCGCTGCAGTTAGTGCCACCGAATAGACTTGCAGACAAGTAACCCGTCCCTTAAAGTAGCGTCTGTCTCCAGATCTAGCTCCCATGCGTACTGGATAGTTAGTTGCAAGTCGTATTCGACCGATAAATCTTTTGGCAACCTTCTTTCCATTTTTCCACAGCACTGCTGTACCAGTATTTCTGTTGTAACTTGTTCCAACAAATTGCCATTTTCTTAGCTGTATGGATCTGCTTTTCACAGATGCAGTGTATTTTCTACCCTTTCGACGCATAAAGCGGGCAAATAACGTTCTCGGACTTTTCAACCAGAGATGGACTCCGCGGGCGCTGGGATGGTAGTTAAATAAGGGCCCTGCGGTACCTTCTGGATAAATCCATGCCAACACCGTCATGGAGTATGACGTATCGAGTGCACCCCCGCGTCTGTTAGGAAACTGAACATAACTTGTCCGTTTGCCGAGAAATTGAATCGACCCGCCTGGTCGGCCGAGAGGACCTGGAGCTGCACGAACATGATTGAGCCTTCCTGTCGGGCTCCTGTTTCTGAGGTCCCTTCCTCTGGCACCTTTGTTCAATGGGAAGAATGCCACTGGTCTGGGAAGATCTGAAAGGTACCCATAGTTTCGTGATGCTTTCCTTTAGATGTCTCACCCAGCTGATCAATCATAAACTATAAGGTAAGAAGGATGGAAACCTATCCTCCTTAAATTATTTAAGTGTAACCAGGCAACCAGTAAAAGTGTTTAGTACTGACAAACTGGCCGTCCAGTTAATGGGCGTGGTCGAAGAGGGCCTTTAGCTGAAATTTGAGAAACAACATATAAAGTCAGCCCAGTCCGAATATGTGGTAACATTTTCATTTCAAAGTGTGTCCATCAACGCCATACTTCCATACGAACTTAAAAATGTGTGTTCATTTAATGCCATACTTCGTGTCGCTTATCATTCAAAAATCGTTTATGTCCTGAATAATTCTAACTGCCTACACTCATCGATTGATATTGAGGGGTATAATACTCAGAGGCGTAAAAAATGGCGATGATAGGTTTAACCAACTCAGCAAGGAATTGTTTTCACTCCCACTCAGCGTTTCTCACGAGAAAGAATCTACTTATCAGTCACTGAAATTGTCCATAATTGATTTTTTATGACGGCAACATTTCTAAATCAATTATTGCTTCACAATCTAACTTAACTTAATATGTTTTACGTTAAAAGACATTGATAGCACTTGTTACTTACGTTGTTTAAAGCAAGTCCTCTGCCTTCCTCTTATCTCCCTTTGGGTTAGCGCATAGTTAAACACTTGGAAGCAAGAGATTCGTCCAGAATATCGGCGCTTATCTCCGATCTTTTCTCCCATTCTTATTGGATAATTCGTGGCTAACCGAATCCTTCCGATGTACTTTCGTGCCACTTTATAGTTGTTGATCCACAATTTTGCCGTTCCTGTTTTCCTGTCGTAGCTGCAACCAACAAATTGCCAACGATTCAGTCGGATCCGTTTGCTTCGTAAAGCCACCGTGTAGCGCCGCCTTCGTCTGCCGCGTTTTCCACGCCGCGTAAAACGGGCCATCAAAGTTCTTGGCGTTTCGAGCCAAAAATGTACACCCCATCCGTTTGGATGATAGTTTGCGATGGGTCCAGGTTTCCCTTGGGGATAAATCCACGCCAGTAAGGTGATAGAGTTCTTTGTATCCAAAGGACCTCTATTCGGGAACTCAATAAAGCTGTTACGTCTTCCTTTGAAACGATAGGCTGTCCTGGGTTGACCGTCCGGTCCAGGTGCAGGATAAACTCCCCTTAACCTCGCGGGTCGGTTTGGTTTATGGCTAATGTCCCGCCCTTGATCTTGTGCAGTCAGCGGGTAAACTGCAACCACTTTATGACAAGCTGTTGGTGAGAGAAAAAGTAGTTTCAGTCACATTATTCCATTTGTGAAAATGCTTGAAATCTTTGAGTTCTCAGTTTGTATTTGCTAGCTCACGGTGCCAGAAATCCAATTGGTTTACTTACGTTTCGGCTTCGGTCGGTTTGGAGGTTTCACGGTTGGTTGAATAGACGGCTGAACACCTGGTAAAAAAACTTTGTTAAAGAGACAGAAAATATCATAGAATGAGAGACAAAAAGTAATTTAAAAAAATTATAAATTGCGCCCAACGTGGGGCTCGAACCCACGACCCTGAGATTAAGAGTCTCATGCTCTTCCGACTGAGCTAGCCGGGCACTATATGTCTAATAGGAAGCTTTCATCATATATGTGCACGATCCTTCGCAGTAAAGCACTATTTGAGCAATAGTGAAAATCAGACCTGAAAAAAATTTCAGGCCTGTACGGGATTCGAACCACTGACCTCTGCGATACTAGTGCAGCGCTCTACCAATTGAGCTAACAAGCCAACTGGGAGCAGGCCATCAAATTAATTCGACATAAACCCGTAGATGATAAATCAAACAACAACAAACATATGAAACATATGTGTGAACTGCGGTTATGAGACGTATATGAGAACGATCCTTCGCAGTAAAGCACTATTTGAGCAATAGTGAAAATCAGACCTGAAAAAAATTTCAGGCCTGTACGGGATTCGAACCACTGACCTCTGCGATACTAGTGCAGCGCTCTACCAATTGAGCTAACAAGCCAACTGGGAGCAGGCCATCAAATTAATTCGACATAAACCCGTAGATGATAAATCAAACAACAACAAANTGTTGTTTGATTTATCATCTACGGGTTTATATCGAATTAATTTGATGGCCTGCTCCCAGTTGGCTTGTTAGCTCAATTGGTAGAGCGCTGCACTAGTATCGCAGAGGTCAGTGGTTCGAATCCCGTACAGGCCTGAAATTTTTTTCAGGTCTGATTTTCACTATTGCTCAAATAGTGCTTTACTGCGAAGGATCGTGCACATATACGTTTCATAACCGCAGTTCATACATATGTTTCATATGTTTGTTGTTGTTTGATTTATCATCTACGGGTTTATATCGAATTAATTTGATGGCCTGCTCCCAGTTGGCTTGTTAGCTCAATTGGTAGAGCGCTGCACTAGTATCGCAGAGGTCAGTGGTTCGAATCCCGTACAGGCCTGAAATTTTTTTCAGGTCTGATTTTCACTATTGCTCAAATAGTGCTTTACTGCGAAGGATCGTGCACATATACGTTTCATAACCGCAGTTCATACATATGTTTCATATGTTTGTTGTTGTTTGAAGCTTTCATCAGTTTGCATCGTTTTTCCCTATTTCTACTTCTTGTTGGACTTTTGGTATAGCTTTTCAAGGTACCAACAGCTACTAGGTATGAGACGCAGTGCTCCCCGCAGATTAAAAGGATAAAAAAGCCTAACTTTAGGCTGATGAAGTATTCAACGAAAGTTAAACAGTAGTCGAGTCTCGGTGACGCAATGACGAGAGTAATCGATTAACATTCATTGCAGAGTTTGAAGTACACTAAATAAGTACTTCATCGGCGTAGCAACCTACCAGGTGCTCTGAGACATTTCTTCTCCATCTTCCTAACCTGGTGACTTGTGAGAGCTTTGTCGAAGAACTGTAAACACGAAACTCGACCACGGAAGGCGTGCTTTTCGCCTGGCCTCGCTCCCAGGTACACATCGTGATTGGTTGATAGATCGAAATAACCAATCTTCTTACGCACGACTGGCTTACTGTTCACAAACAGAGTAGCTACACCAGAGGCCTTGTCGTAAGACATTCCAAAGTGATTCCATTTCCACGGTATAACGCCGTCAACGCTAGCCAGATATGGTTTGGTTTCACGTGACTGCCTGGTCACAAACTCTGCAAACACCATGTTTCTTCTCATCATCCAAAGTCTCACGGCTGAACCTTTACCCGCGAACTGAACAATGGGGCCCATACGGTTTTTGGGTAGTGCCCAAATAAGGACCGTTATGGCCTTCATGGTGTCCATTCTTCCCTTATTAGGGATCTTGATAAAGCTGTTGGGTTTACCGGTGAACTGGTATGCGCGGCCAGGTCGTTTGTCAGGTCCACGTGCAAGCCGTACGCCATTCAGAATAGCGGGAGGATTGCGGCCCAGCTTTTCCATTCCTCGGTATCGCTTGTTTAGCGGGTAAAGGACAACTGGTTTAGGAGTAACTATGATAAAATGTTGAAATATAGTATTTATTTATTTGAAATCATTTGAAGGACGGTTCAGATAAATACGCAAAGAAAAAAATATTCTGTTTAATATTTAACCCTCTGCAATCTGCAAAGGTGCGCTGTATTGTTTTGAACTAACTACGCCTTGAATTGTCTTTATGTATTCTAAAAGATCTTATCAGTATCTGAATAAAATTTCTGATAAAATAGAAACTGAGAGCGCCCAACGTGGGGCTCGAACCCACGACCCTGAGATTAAGAGTCTCATGCTCTACCGACTGAGCTAGCCGGGCGGCTTATGATTAAAAGTGTTCAACGATAAGGTAGTAACCTGTGTACGGTGCTTCCTTCGTAGAAGCTTCGTGAAAGAGATTTTGATATGAGTTCTGAGCTGCTTCAGTTGTTCTTTCATGTTTGTTAAACATCTTTTTTAAATCATTTGTACTTACATGTCGGCACCTGAGTTGGTGGCGGTGGGGGTGGAGTAGTACGAGGAACAGACGGGCGTCCTGAATAAAAAATTATCATTGGTTAGCATTGCTGAATATAAATGCATTGAGCTTCATGTGTAAATCGTTTACATCTCTATTTTGTCAGTAATAACTACATATAATTCGCACGAGATTCAAGTTCAATCAAAGTTTGGGCCGAGAAAGCGATGATCTCCAAATGTTACTCCAGGAGTACCATGATATCTCGGTTTTTATTTATAATAATTTGAATATATCAACAAAGTTGAAATGGTAAATTGGCCACCGTTACGATTATAAAAGCTGACGTTTCGAGCGTTAGCCCTTCGTCGGAGCGAATAGAGGAATTTTGGGTTGTGTGTCACCAAACGATCCATTAAGATCACCAATCACTTCACGTGCACCTCCGCCAATGTAATCTATTGCATAACTTGCACTTATTGCAAAAAGATATACATCGGCGAAACAGGCAGAAGACTAGGTGACCGATTCCGAGAACACCTTCGCGACGTGGAGAGGAATGACAAGGACACATCGAAACCAGTCGCTAGACATTTTAATTTACCTAATCATTCTAAGCAACATATGGCAATCTGCGGTCTTTCCTTACACTTAGGTAGCACGGAAAGCCGTAAAACTCTTGAACAAAAGCTCATCTTTCAAACCGGCAGTCTAAATCCCACAGGTATCAACGAACGCTTTTCAGTCCACTAATTTAATCGTGTTTTTCTCGTTGCCATGTTCCCACCAATAACGTAGCTCCATTTTCTGCCTTTAAAAGCACACACAACCCACAATTCCTCTATTCGCTCCAACGAAGGGCTAACGCTCGAAACGTCAGCTTTTATAATCGTAACGGTGGCCAATTTACCATTTCAACTTTGTTGATATATTCAAATTATTTCGTCACCCCCACCGACGCAGCCCCAAACAGTTTCTTTAGAAACTATCAGCCTTTTATTTATAATACTTTGATTGACTAAAGCAAGATTTTCTCTAATTTCTTTGCCTAAAGTATGGGAAATTTCTCCCACATGGTTTTATCCGCCGAAGTGTTATGCAAACCAACCAGTTCACCAAATGGCGACAGTTAAATTTTGTCCTCTCTTATTGAAATATTTCCCAGCACTGATTCTGAAATATCTAGCACACATAAATTCCATTTATGGGATACTTACGTCTCATACATCTTTTCATGGTTCTCCGTATTTGCTTTTTCTGTAAAGCAACTCGATAGAGCTGCACACAAGCTACGGCGCCTTTGAAGTAACGTTTATCACCGACCTTTGCCCCAATCCTTATTGGTCCCGTCGTGGACAAACGAATGCTGTTGATTTTACGTGAAGCGACCTTTTTACCATTTACCCAAAGCGTGGCATAAGTTCCATCGTAAGTTGTACCGACGAAATTCCATACGCCTCGTGTCAAAGCAGCCTTAGTAACGGCCGGGGTAGGGGCACCACCTATTTTCACATATCGAACAAAGAGCGTTCGGGGGTTTGTCTGCCACAGGTGTGTCTCCCAGGCGGGTCCCTTGCCATAGTTGATAATTGGTCCTGCTAACCCTTGAGGCTTGACCCAAGCAAACATGGAGATCGAGTTAGTTGTGCGCAGTTTTCCATTATTGGGAATTTCAATATAGCTGTTTGGGAGGCCACGTAGTTTGACCGCAGATTTTGGGCGGCCATCGGGACCACTGGTCAAAACAACATTGCTGAATAAAGCTTTAGGTGCTTTATTGGGGCTTCTATCTCGGCCTTTACTGATTGGATCAAACGGATAGAGTCCCATGAGCATCGGTTGAGCTGTAGAATAAGGACAAAAATTATCTCATGAAGCGCTTTTGTCCAAAATATGCCATTTGGGGTTCAAAGCCTCTCGAAGCAATGACTCCTAAGAACACCACGGGCAACTGACATGTATTCCTTAAAAGGCGGCTTAGGAGCCTCATACTATACTACAACCGAAAGAACAGAATTGATTGGTCAGTTGAAATAGCTACTGCGTGGGCAGGAATAAATACAGCTAAATAATTTTCGTCGCGTAAACTAGTGCTTTAAGGAAAGTGTACTGATGTCATTATTGCCCGGCTTTAAACTAATAACCGTTATTGGAATAAACAGCTGGGTAACTCTGCATGACTGGCGTTTGAGCGCAGCAATAGGCAATTGCATGACAACATAAACATCTCTCCACGCTGATTCATCATCGATCGTAATTCTTTACCTTCTACCTTCGATAATCGACTCGTTGCAGTTCTTTGGGATCACCCTTCAGACTTGCGAATATGTATTAAAACAACTCACCTGGTTTCGGCTTGGGCCTTTTAGGATTTGGTTCTTGGATGAAAAGGACAAAGAAAAACGCAAGTCATTATTAGATAATTCAGGTTTTAAAATGCAAGAAAATTAATACTATGTTTTCTCTTTCTGTCGTTTTATCTCTATGTCAGCATATTCGTTGTTAGTTTGTACGTGCGTTTGTCAATCAATATGTCTTCCTCTCTCCCTCTTGTTTACCTCTTTGTCTCTGTTTGTTTTAGATGATTCTTATGAAAAGAGTAAGCGGGCAGCTCTTACTTCGTCTGAAACATTTCCTTTTCTGTGCTCGAATTTGTGGTCCAATCAAAGCTTTCTTGAAGATTTGCAAACACGAAATACTTCCTCTTAATATGCGGCGATCCCCTGGCTTGCGTCCCATCACCGCAGGGAAGTTAGTAGCTAGTTTATATATTCCAACACGTCGCTAAATGGAGAACAAATGACATTGTTAATAAATCGTACTCTGCTTTGTTCATGAACCCATCGTGTCTGATACTCACTGGGCGGAAAGGTAGTGGAGGAAACGTTTAAAATGAGGCGAAGATAAGAACACAAACAAACAAAAACGTCAGACTGCAACTATCAGCAAAAATAAATTTGGCAGAAAAGGTAAAGAAATTAGGTTTCGTTGGAAATTGAACTCTCTTTGCGAGACGGATGTTTGTAATACCTGAGCATCAATAAAACCATTTCTCCAAATGGTTCCAACTCCCTTCTTTTTATCATAACTAACTGCCAGATAGTACCATCTTCCCATTTTGATCTTCCTACTTCTCAATGCTGGTACGGTTTTGCCGTCACGTGTGGAGAATCGAACAAAGAACTTCCGATTACCAGGTCGTCCCACTACCCAGAAATGAACCCCGCCCCAGGTCTGGGGCTTGTAATGAAAGATCGGTCCGGCGCTTTTCGGCTTCACCCACACAGTGATCGTTATTTCGTCCACTGTGTCAAGTTTTCCGTAGTTTGGAAACACCACGTAGCTATTTGGACTACCACTCAGCCTAATGGCACCTGAAGGGAGGCCATCGGGTCCGTTGTCTGGCCGCACGTTACGGAGTTTTGCTCGTGGGTTCTTATTTGGAGAAATATCCCGTCCATTGAGAACACCGCTGAGCGGAAATGTCGCCACAGCCGTCGGGGAACCTGAAATCATCATAAGAATCCAATTATCGCTGAAGAACGAAGAACAATAAATGCAATAATGAAATTCACTTATCACCTGTGGAAGGTTTTCCTGGAATTATTCCGGCTGCAGAGAGACAAAAGACGCAAAGTGGCATTAATGGTATTGTAAGATTAATTAGTGCGAGAAAGTTTGCTGCACTCCATTTTTTCCCTTTTGTGCCTTGTCTTATTCCTGCCTTAATTTCGCTAAGTTACTAAATCTGATTTCTGAGTTGAATTTTTTCTCAAGATTATTTCGGTGTTACTTAAAATAAAAATTTATCATAAAGGCATAAAGTAAATGTAATTACTCTCCTTTACTTGTCTTGGGGAATGTTGTAAACTGTACGTAACATTTATTAGTCTTAAAATTGGTGATTTCGTTGTCTATTACGTAACCAAACAACATGTATGCAGCACGTGTTTTATCGCCCTATATATGCCGTTTTTGCCGTTGGACGTTTTTGCCGTTGGACTTCAGATCCTCGCTTTATTGGTTTGAGAGATGAGGACTTTAAGACTGCTATGGAATTTTGCCGCAAAAAGTTCCCAAAGTAATTAATTAAGGTCATAAAAAGAAAAACAAAAGAAAATGATTAGTCAAGTAATGAGCGGGTGTGTTTAATTTCTGGGAGTGAGTGTGTAATTTTTAAGGGAGATGGGGTTCGATTCCCCAGCTAGTTTGGCGTCTGGTGACCCTCGTTTATGGTGGTCCCCATCCCTAAGGCATTGCACGCCAGCCAATGGGTTGGGATTAGACATGTAGGTCGGCGGGATTGCACCTCCCTTCATCGGGGCCCGGCCGTCCACCTTAAAAATATGCCGCTGTTCCACGTGCTTACAACGAGACGTGGAGTGTGTTTTTTCCGGAGAAATGTGAGTGGGAGTTTCCTGAAGTGTAAAAGTAAAATTGAATCAAGCGAATAAATCGTGAGTACAGTTTTTCACGTTTTCGACATGAAAACTGCTTGATAACATGAGACTACAGACCGGCCACAAATTTATCATACAAATGAACCCTCACGTAACCCGGCTCACGTGTTCATTGAATTTCTGTTCCAACCATCATACCTCCTTTGAAGCATCTTTTCCTCACTGCAATGATCTCGCGCCTGGTAAGGGCTCTGCTATATACCTGTATACATGACAAGCGACCACGGAAAAATCGTTTTGCACGCTTGGTTGAGCCCGCGCGCACTGGTTTGTTTGTAAGAAGCTGAACTCGACCAATGATCCTTCGTAGGACTGGCCTGGCATTAACATATAATGTCACAATACCAGAAAGGAAATCGTAAGAGAACCCTACGTAAGTCCAAGTCCTGGGCTTTAAGAACCCCTTTCGAGTCACGACAGGAACTTTCTTTCTTCTGTTTCGGCTAACAATGAGCGCTTCAATTCGATCCGTGCCGAAGATTCTTAATCCAACCCCTACTCCTCGGGGATCGTATTGAAACACCGGCCCACCCCTCCCTTCATTGAACACCCATGCCATGCAAGTGATTGAGCGTCTAGTGTCCAGTCTTCCGTTGTTTGGGAACTCGATGTAACTGTTAGGAATGCCAGAGAATCGTAATGCAGTATCTGGTTTGCCGTCAGGGCCTGGAGCGATATTTACGCTTGAAAGCTTTCCTGGGAGATTTTTGGTAGGGCTGAGGTCACGTGCACCAGTAGTAGCGTCCAGTGGGTACACGGCCACTAAGTTACGGATGGCTGATTGAACAGAGAACAAAATTATGCCCTGTCTGTCATAACATTACCTTAAATAAATGTTTTTTTTTAAATGTCCTTACTACTGCTAAAGTTTCATAATACAGAAAAAACAAGAAACGAGACTTACCTGGTGTCGGCTTGGTAACAGGTGAAACTGGCTTAGTGGGTTTCACTTTACCTGAAACAGAAAATACACTCAATAAGATATCCGATAGTTACAATTTGTGCTAACATTTGTTCAAATGATTTCGTTATATTGCGTTTATACCCATTTAAACGTGTCATTCATGAAGCAACTCTCCCCAATATAATGATTTGGTGTTGGAATTACTAATACCTGCATTAAAATTCCTGGCACCGAAAAGGAAAGACACTCTTCTGCTGTAAAATGTTTGATTAGTGACTCATTCAGTACAGCTAGGATGTTAGAAGAATAGTTTGGCTGTACAGAATAAAGGCAACCCTATTTCTCTCGCACTAAAATTAAAAATCAGATTGAATGGATTAATACTAACCTGATTTGAAGCAGCTCTTCCTGGCGGCTCGGATTTGCCGGCTTGTCAGGGCTACATTGTACACTTGAACACAAGTTATTTTCCCGCGGAAGAAGCGACGATCTCCCTTCCGTGCACCCATTCTAACTGGATAATTTGTGGCAAGTTTTATTCTGCCTAGATTTCTCTCAGCTGAGATTCTGGAATCTACGAACAAACGTGCGTACCCAGTGTTCTTGTCGTAAGAAGCTGCTACCCAGTTCCAAGTTCCCGGTTTCACTCTGTTCGTAGCCACAGGCCTCGTGAACTTCTTGGACCTTTTCACAAAGCGTGCGAAAAGAACGTTCTTTCGAACCATCCAGAAATGTACTCCGAATCCTTTTGGATTAAAATTGAAGATCGGTCCTGCGCTTTCCGGATTTACATATGCAAGAATGGTTATTGAATCCTGTGCATCTAATCGGCCGTTGTTCGGAAACTCGATGAAGCTATCGGGACGGCCTCGGAACTTGTAAGCACTACCACGCTGACCGTCGGGACCTCGGGCTAGTAAGGCACCCACAATTTTTCCTGGGCGGTTTTTCGTTGGGCCTATATCTCGGGCACCATATTTAGATTTCAAGGGGAAGAATGCCATTGCGGGGGGCAGAGCTAGTAAAAAACAATTTAAAACATGTTAGGATCATTGCTAAAGTACAAAAACTTTAAAACAAGAAGATAAGAGACTTAACAGTCTTAGTTAAATGCGAATGGAATACAGGAGGCTGGAAAGCTACTGTAATGGTCATACCGTGTTTAAACCAGAATGAAAACCTTACCTTTCCAGGTGAAGGAAATGCTATGTTTCGCTTTTAGATGGAAAAGGTGAGAATGTAAACCTCAAAATATGAACTCCTATTTAGGATCGATTATTGCTCTCCTACCTGGAACAGGGACTGTTGGCGGTCTGGTGGGAGTCGGTTGACCTGGAAATATAATAAAAACACAATCATATGCGGTAGAACACAAGTCATTCCTCCGGCTAGCTTGAATCACATATCTACATCACCACCTTACGATGATGTGTGTCCCCAGTCTTCAATGTTATGACAGACAAAGATAAGATATTTTTTAAGTGAATATAATGGCAAATAATTATGTTTATGGTCTTCCTCCAAAGTGGCTCTTGCGTAAATCAAAGACAACGAAGGTGGATAAGCTGAAAATAGTGGCTCGTTTACAACTTGGAACAGCATTTCTGATTGAGTGTTGTATCGACATTCAATTGGTTTAAGCGTAAATCTTACGTCAGGCTCATTGCTTCGTACCTGGTTTAAAGCAAACATTCTGTACATTCTTTATCTGGGGCCCAGTCAAGGCATCACTGTAAACCTGAAGACATGTGATACTCCCTCTGAATGGTCGCCGACCTCGAGTCAATCCCCCAAGCCTAAGGGATTTCTTTGTAGAGAGCCTGATCCAGCCAAGCTTCTGAAATGCAATCGGCCGAGAATTCCGCCAGATGGTTCCCATTCCAGTTCGCTGATCGTAGGAAATGGCTAAGTAACTCCATCGTCGAAGGGTAATTCCCCGCCGTCTTGTTTTTACGGTTTTGGTTGGTCGACCGTTTCGGCGAACAAAACGGGCGTACAAAGTGTCCGGTGATCGAATGCCGAAATTCACCCCTCCTGGTTTGTACTCAATTATTTTCCCTGGCTCGTCAGGTTTGACCCAAACGATCACTGTTAAAGAATTCTTGGTGTCCAATTTCCCACTGTTGGGAAACTCCACATAGCCGGTCTTAAATTTCGGGAATTTGATGGCTCCACCAGGCTGGCCGTTAGGTCCACGAGCGGGTCGAACACCGTATAGTAGTCCCGGGCTATTCCTCAGAGGACCAATGTCTTTTCCTCGAGTCTTTCGGTTTAGTGGGAAAATAGCGACAGCTTTGGGAGGTTCTGTTGATACAGAAATTTAGTAAATTAAAGGAGAGATTACGTGTGACCTCTGAAATCATGTGCGAGGAATGAACTAATCATTTACTTACTTGGTTTCCTTGTGGGTTTTTTCGGTCCCTGTTTACTGCCTCCTGCCTCTGCGGGGAAAAAGCAAAAGGGTCATGGTAAAATCTGACTCCATTTATCTTATTCAAAGTAATGTGAGTTTTAAGGGTGATGTGTAGAATCCAAAGTTTATTCATAAAGATGTAGTCGTTTTCGTCTGTTTCCTGGTAACAAGGAGGTATGGTCTTAGGAACTCGCTTTTATTTTGCATCTTTTTCGTTCAGTAAAAGGCTACTTACTCTCCTAGTACTTCTTGCACTTATTTATCAATAACAAATGTAGCCTCACGTCATACTTTCACTTATTATTTTGCCAATATTCAGAGGAAAATGTGCTCATACTTCCAGTGCATTGCCGAGGCTAAGCAGAGATCATTGGGTTACAGGTTTGACTATTTATTTATAACCTCTTTGCTGACACTTCTTAATTTCTCTTTCAAAATTGCCCCTGAAACCAGCAAAGGCTTACAAACCTGCGCATGCTTTGTCCTTAATACGTTTCACTATGGTTCCCAGGCTTCTAAAACTGGTCTTGTACGAGTGCTGAGGATCTTTAGCAACCGTGAGAATCTCACTGAGATCGGCATTAGGTCCAACGCCGATACTGAAAATATTTACTCTCATAGCAACAAGCTGTTGTACTGGGCCCAGCACTCGGTCGGACGATTTACCCGCAGTTAGGAAAACCAAAGTTTTCTTGCCCTTGCTAGCGGGAAAGAGACGCTTTAAAGCAAGTTTCAACGCTTTTCCCGATAGGCGTGTCCCACCGTCGGGCTGCAGCAAGCGAATGACGCGTTTAATTTGCGTGGGTTTGTTAAACTGACCAAAGTTTAACTTGACCGCAGGGCGGTACGAGTTCGTAATCAAACCAACCCGAACATACTGACTGGAAACAATAAATGAATCCACCAATTGCAAAATGAATTTCTTTGTGTAATGGAAGACTTTCTTAAGACCACCAGCTGTGTCAATTACGAAGGCAACGTCCATCTTTACTTTACACACTGTGGAATGATGACAGATTTTTTTTAATTCATTGTATTGTTACCAGCAGATATTACTTCACGACTGCTTCTCAGCTAAATGTGTCTAAAAATGTTTTCAACGTTTATTCTGCTTGATTTTCCTGGTCCTTCTCCGTAAAAATTATGCGTGGAGGATATGTTCATATGGTTTGAGACATAAACAAAGCGCGATCTTAGCCAAGTAAACTATTGTTAGAAACAGGCTACTAAAATTAATGGAATATGACGAAATGAGATGATTTTTCTTAAAATGAGGCTGAAATTAAAACTTCAATCATAACTGAATAGAAAAAGAAAAATATTATACCTTTGTTGGGCGCTGTTGTCGCAGCAGGTCCTGTTGTGGGGCGGGATGGTCCGACTGGCCGCGTTGGAATAGTTGTTGGTTTCTTTACAACAGTAAAACCTCAAATAAAAGTAATAGCAGTTATTTCATGTAGGCAGTCGTTTTATTTTCTGCGGTACATTATAATAAACTAGTTCTGTCAGCAAGTTGATCTGAAAGTTTGACCTTCGTTTTGACCCATAGAAGAAGAAGTAGGAACAGAACAAGTGCATTTTAGTTATTTTACTTGAGAACGACACTGTTGTTAAATGACAATAAAAGTTAGTGCATAGCAACAGATACAAAGGGTTGAAATCGAGGCCCCTTTATAGAAACACTGGAAAATCTTCTTACCTGGTGGAATAGTGATACAAGACTTTCCGGTAGTGGGCTTTGCACCCCCTGGCTTTGTTGGGCCACTTTTCGGAGTTGTTTTTGCTCCTGGGCGCATAACACATCCTGGACCTCCAGGCCCACCTGGTCCTCCCGGCCCCCCTGGGCCTCCAGGACCACCTGGGCCTCCAGGGCCTCCTGGTTGACCGGGTGGAGCCGTTTTTGGGCCTCCAGGACCACCTGGACCACCTGGTCCTCCTGGTCCTCCGGGACCTCCAGGTCCTCCAGGTTTTCCTGGGGGAGCAGTTGTAGGACCACTTGGCCCTCCTGGTCCTCCTGGACCCCCAGGTCCCCCTGGTCCTCCAGGACCTCCTGGCCCCCCTGGGCCACCCGGACCCCCTGGTCCACCGGGTGTTCCTGGAGGCTTGGTTGTGGTTTTTGCAGGTTTTCCCGGTTTCTTTGTTGGGCCACCTGGGCCTCCTGGACCACCAGGACCCCCAGGTCCACCAGGGCCGCCAGGACCTCCTGGCCCTCCAGGTCCACCTGGAGACCCTGGTCGCTTTGTTGTTGGTCCCCCAGGTCCTCCTGGACCTCCAGGTCCCCCGGGTCCTCCAGGTTTGCCTGAAAAAGAGAAAAGAAATTTGAATGCGTTGATGGTCCGGTCATAGTCCAGTCATTATTGTAATCTAGAGTAAATAACTACATTAAAAGTTCCAAAATTAATCAGAAATTGATTATTTCTATAAGTTTTGCCATGATAAGCATTTCTAGTTTCTTTCTCACCCTTTGGAACTCTTAGATATCCATACCCATTTATAAAACTTGCAGGAACGCTTTCTTATACCTCTGTTATTATCAATAATATCACCATAATGATTACGATGATAATTATTATCATTATTATGATTAGGAGGAGCCCATTCACTCTTTTCTCAACATTGTGTTGTCTGACCTGGTGCCTTTGTCTTTGGCGTTTTTGGCGTGGTCTTCGCTGGTGGTCCCCCAGGCCCGCCAGGTCCTCCTGGTCCACCAGGTCCACCAGGTCCTCCGGGGCCTCCAGGACCTCCGGGGTTTCCGGGTGCATACTTGGTGGGCTTAGTTTTAGTACCAGGAGGTTTCGTCTTTGGTCCACCAGGGCCCCCAGGTCCTCCAGGTCCTCCTGGTCCACCAGGCCCTCCTGGTCCTCCTGGGCCCCCTGGCCCACCAGGAGATCCCGGGCGTTTCGTGGGTTTCTTTGTTGGAACTGGTTTTGTTGTCTTTGGACCTCCTGGTCCCCCAGGACCTCCAGGACCCCCAGGGCCTCCAGGACCTCCTGGACCTCCAGGTCCACCAGGGCCCCCTGGACCTCCAGGGCCGCCTGGTTTTCCTGGTGGCTTAGTCGTGGGTGTTGTCTTCGGTACTCCTGGTTTTGGTGGCTTTGTTTTTGGTCCTCCTGGGCCACCTGGTCCACCTGGTCCTCCAGGTCCTCCAGGACCTCCTGGTCCCCCTGGGCCCCCGGGTCCTCCCGGCTTTCCTGGGGGTGGTTTTGTGGTAGGCCCACCAGGACCTCCTGGTCCTCCTGGGGAACCAGGACGTTTTGTGGTGGGACCTCCAGGTCCTCCAGGACCTCCTGGACCGCCAGGACCACCTGGTCCTCCAGGGCCGCCTGGTCCTCCAGGGCCGCCTAAATTTCAAAATCGTGTAATGAATGTTTTGTGCTGTATAATATAAGGTATTTCAAAAGCCAAATTAGATAGACAATAATTGCCGTTGTAGAGGATGGAAAACACGTTAAAACCTTCCCAATATTCAAGGAAGTAATGAAACATTTGAGACATGATTCGGCTTTAATTGCTTATGACTTTTTAATGTAATACCCGACAGTGTTTCATTTTTATTTGACCATAATTGGCTATCATAATAACCGCATTTATTTTCGATTTTATTCCTATCAGCTTTGACTGAAGGCTTATTTACTGCAGTAAAGTGCCTTAAACACAATATTTCCCTTCGATAAATGATTACAGCTTCTATTGAATCCTGTTTAAAGCGACAGTTTTAGAATTGCGCTGCTCCCGCTATCGTGGTTTATTTTACCTGGTGTCCCTGGTCGTTTAGTTGTTGGTCCTCCGGGCCCACCAGGGCCACCTGGTCCTCCAGGGCCTCCTGGACCCCCAGGTCCCCCTGGTTTTCCGGGAGGCTTCGTTGTGGGTCCTCCAGGACCTCCTGGGCCTCCAGGTCCTCCTGGTCCCCCAGGTCCTCCAGGCTTTCCGGGTGGCTTTGTTGGCTTTGTTGGTCCTGTTGGTCCCCCTGGTCCTCCAGGTCCTCCAGGTCCACCTGGCCCACCAGGTCCTCCTGGACCTCCTGGACCTCCTGGAGTACCTGGTGGTTTTGTGGCTGGTGTTGTAGGCTGTCCTGCTGGAGGCCCTCCAGGTCCACCTAAGATATAACCGAAAAATACTTTCCCCGTGATGTTTTAGACTCGCATGTTTTTTAGCATAGAAGGTTATATGGCTCCTTCTGACTAAAATCTAAATATTTTTGGTAAGCTTTCGGCTATTAGTTCATATCATGAAGATTAGGTCTGACATGTATTGCACATGTATTGAAGAGAAAGCTTTCACTATACCCGGTCCTCCTGGTCCTCCAGGTCCTCCAGGCCCGCCTGGTCCTCCTGGTCCCCCAGGACCCCCAGGACCTCCAGGTCCTCCTGGCCCATTCGGCCCACCTGGTCCACCTGGTGTACCCGGACGTTTTGTTGGTTTGGTTGGTTTGGTTGCCACACCAGGTTTAGCAGTTGTTGGTCCACCTGGACCACCAGGTCCTCCGGGGCCACCTGGTCCACCAGGACCCCCAGGTCCTCCAGGTCCTCCAGGTCCTTTTGGCCCTCCTGGTCCACCTGGTTTACCAGGGCGTTTTGTTGGCTTAGTTGGTTTTGTTGGCACACCAGGTCTAGCAGTTGTTGGTCCTCCTGGACCTCCAGGTCCACCAGGTCCTCCTGGTCCTCCAGGTCCGCCAGGACCACCTGGTCCTCCAGGTCCTCCTGGACCACCTGGTCCGCCTGGTCGCCCCGGGCGTTTAGTCGGTTTGGTAGGTTTGGTAGGCACACCTGGTCGTGCAGTTGTCAGGCCACCTGGACCTCCGGGACCGCCAGGGCCTCCAGGTCCGCCTTTAAAAATAGGAAAATAACCTTTCGAACAATAGATTCTCACAGATATCATCCATTAGCTATCAATTAATTGTGATCCTTCCATTTTAACGTCCTTAACATAATGTGAGCTTCAGGTATCTTAAGCTGTGCTGTGGTTAGGTTTTATCATTCTGCTGGTTTTCGTTAATAGTTGTCTTTGTTCACTTCAAATCTAGTATAACGTGAAATTATTGATAAATGGTAAACGTGGTAGCTACACCTCAACCCATTGAACGGAATGAAGTTGTCGTTATTGAATCAGATAATTAACAACAACTGTTATGTCATCCTGTACCAAAATCGACCAATAAACTAGCAAGCCTGAGCAAGGTTGTTTTGAGAAAAAAAAAGAATGCTCTGTAGACAGGTGCCACCTCACACTCCATATACTTGGTAACACAACATCATTGTTGAATTTAATTTGTGATTTTGAACATCCTTCTATAGTCTTTGTGATACTGTAATTTTACTTTATTGTTTATTTTGTCCGTTTAACATATAAGACGACTCTTTACACATCACAAACCTGGACCCCCTGGGCCACCAGGTCCACCAGGTCCCTTAGGGCCGCCTGGTCCCCCTGGAGTACCTGGTTTTCTTGTGGTCGGCTTTTTAGTCGGCACACCTGGCCTTGGAGTTGTAGTCTTGGGACCGTTTGGACCTCCAGGTCCACCTGGACCTCCAGGGCCACCAGGCCCACCTGGCCCCCCTGGGCCTCCTGGACCGCCTGGGGTTCCAGGTCCCCCTGGTTTCCCAGGGGGCTTTGTAGTTGGTCCTCCAGGTCCTCCGGGTCCTCCAGGGCCACCAGGTCCTCCTGGTTTTCCTGGTTTCTTTGTAGTGGGGCCGTACGGACCGCCAGGTCCTCCGGGACCACCAGGGCCACCTGGACCTAAGTAAACAGAACATGAGACGGTATATACAAAAATCTTTTGATAATGATTGATAATATGCGCTTAAGGTCTGCTCCTAAGGGAAACGGTAAGTTATGTTTTCACGGGAGTCTCAATGATTTCCAAACGAATTCGGGGGTAACATTCAGACCAAAGGTTGATCTACGCAGGGTCACGTGATGACTAATCAATCAATCACAAACTTCCTTACAGCAAGCAAAACCACGGGCACATAACATATCAATATTTCAACAGTGCAAATTAACATGAACGTCCTCTTTTAATAGCAAATGAATGATTCACAACTCAGATGGATAACATGTTCTCGACTGTATTATTATTCATATATCAATTAAGATAACATTGTTAAGCCATTACCTCCTGGCCCTCCTGGGCCACCAGGTCCTCCAGGTCCCCCTGGGCCACCAGGTCCTCCAGGTCCCCCAGGACCACCTGGACCTCCAGGGCCATTGGGCTTGCCAGGGGCGTAGGGAGTTGGTGTTGTCTTCTTAGTTGGTGCTCTAGGGGATGCTGTTGTGGGACCTCCAGGTCCACCTGGTCCTCCTGGACCACCTGGCCCTCCAGGTCCCCCAGGACCCCCTGGACCTCCGGGTCCTCCAGGGCCACCAGGGCCCCCAGGGCCTCCAGGTCCACCGGGACCCTTAGGGCCTCCAGGACCTCCTGGTGAGCCTGGTTTCTTTGTTGGTTTAGTTGGCTTTGTTGGTTTTCCCGGACGGCTTGTTTTGGGTCCTCCTGGCCCTCCTGGTCCACCAGGCCCACCTGGTCCACCTGGGCCTCCAGGACCTCCAGGTCCAGCAGGTCCTCCAGGTGTTCCTGGTTTCTTTGTTGGTTTAGTAGGTTTGGTAGATTTTCCTGGAACGGGTGTTGTTTTTCCACCAGGTCCACCGGGACCTCCTGGGCCTCCAGGACCTCCCGGGCCTCCAGGACCTCCAGGTCCTCCTGGGCCTCCGGGTCCTCCGGGTCCACCAGGTCTGCCAGGTTTCTTTGTTGGCTTTGTTGGTCTTGTAGATTTTCCTATGAAGTAATTTCATCAGAGGTAATTCACGAACGATAAACAGGCTGACATAAGCGACTTCACCACTCTAACAGACACAATATTCAAGGAAAAACTACTGTGCAACAATTAAAAATATGCCTCCTTCCTATGTAACTACAATATTAGTTTTTTCGTATCTTAACGACTTACATTAATAGTATCGAGAATAATTTGGTATAAAACAGTGGTTTGAATAATAAGTATGGTACAACACAGTTTGCCAATCTCCTTCCTCGTTAGTTGGTAAATTAACATCTTGCTTCCTTTTTCCTGAAACCCCAACGAGGCTATACAGTCTAAAATCAGACATTAGGAAACCTCGAATGAACATGCTCCTTTATAGGTTACAGGCCAATTCTTGATCCAAACGTCGGCTTGAACATTATCTTAAGCTGACACTAATATCAGTTGGTAGCCTGGTTGCATGTCATGAGAAAAGATGTCATTCACTGACCCAATTTGTCTTAATTCCCAAATCATTTGTTCAGAGCTTCCAAAGTAAGCTTAGGTCGTACCTGGTTTCTTAGTTGTTGGTCCGCCTGGTCCCCCTGGACCACCAGGGCCTCCTGGACCGCCGGGCCCTCCAGGACCTCCAGGTCCCCCAGGGCCTCCAGGCTTACCAGGGGGCTTTGTTGGTTTTCCTGGTCTTGGAGTTGTCTTCGGTCCTCCAGGTCCACTAGGCCCGCCTGGGCCTCCAGGACCACCTGGTCCTCCGGGACCTCCAGGTCCGCCTGGGCCACTAGGTCCCCCTGGTCCGCCGGGTCCTCCTGGTCCCCCAGGTCCACCGGGTTTACCTTTGAAAGCGTGAAAGAAATAGAGTCAAACAGAGATATGGAAAAAAATTTTAACCGAAAGATGGGTCGTAAATTTCTTACCTGGAGGATTTTTTGTTGGCTTTGTGGTTGTTCCAGGTTTAGGCCCTCCAGGTCCTCCTGGGCCGCCTGGTCCACCCGGTCCTCCAGGCCCACCAGGACCCCCAGGTCCACCAGGGCCACCTGGACCTCCTGGTTTTCCAGGTTTACCTGGACCTCCTCTTTTTGGTGTTGTCTTAGATACTGCAATAAAAACGTGTGAATTGTTAGATGTCCTGTTGCCGGTCTTCCGATGATGGCTTACAACTCAAAAGTACCATTTCTAACGAACGCCTACCACTCTATCATCTTCTCAACTGAGAGCAGAATAGTTGAAGTTTGTGCGTCATGTATTCTATCCAAGAGATCATTAACATTATATGAGCAATCTGCACAAGTTTTGAATCAAGTCCACTCTTGAATACTAATTATACGGGACCAACATGACTAAATATTTTAAGAATTGTATAATACTATTTGACTTTTAATTGTCTCATTTAGCCCTAAAATTTTAAAACCTACCTGGTTTTGTAGGACCCACTGGTTTAGTTGGTCCGCAAACACATGGCTGAAGCTTTGAAACTGAGAGAGTACCACCCGCACCTAAAGAGTAACAAGTTAAGCATTGAGCAATGTATACGACATCTTAGATAAGTTATGTAAAGTCAGAAGAAGCTAAAGGAAAACATACTTTTCTCTTCCTCAGTATTAGGTTGCATCTACTGTCAGTGATTAAATCAGTGCTATTGATGAGGGTTTTTTTTCTGTCCAAGTAAAACCTTGTGCGAGGAAAACATGTGTTTTTTTTTTAAGGTAGAGAAGGTTTCGGGGGCTTAAATTGTTTAAACCTTGTTTAGGGCTTTGACTTCGACTATTTTTTTCTCAAACGGTAAAGAGTTTGTGGACATACTTCTGCTTGGTGTTTAGGCTAATTGAATACTCACTCAAACAGATCGCTTTCTTTAGATCGTTTGTGATGTACTGTATCTGCTTAAAGTCCGACGTGAATACATGCGTCTTGTCGGGATCGGTTGCCATAGAGTCCAATTCCTTTGCGTTGAAGTACCTTCCCACCCCTACTGAGTAGATTGTAATGCCGTTGGCTCGTAGTCTCTTAGAGATTCCATGTACGTCATCGAGTGAGCCACCGTCAGTAACAACCAACAATACTTTGCGAGCTCGAGTACGTCGGCTTCTCATGAAAAGCCTTCTGTTGGCAAAACTGAGAGCCCGACCTGTTCGCGCTCCCGTCCGTGGATAGTAGATTGGTCGGTTGAGAGCCGTGAATAATAGTGAATTACTCTGGTATCTGAAATTATCGAAAGTCATTGTTTAACTTTTATATTTGACAATTTATTTTTAATTTTTTTTTATAAACAAAAAAGTTCCTGGAAATACCAGGACCAGAACAGAGTCAGGACAGGCGTCAGATCAATTCCACTGCAGCCTGGTGGGTGAGTGTTATCCACCACTCGGAGATGTTTTAAGAGCTGGGAAACAATATGTAGACTCTAACAAGGAGGGGAACGATAATTGCTATTACTACTGTAAGTGAGTATCTGTCATAACACCTTCGTTGGAATCAATCATTATGAACTTTTCAGTTTTCAGTGGAGTGATTGAGAACGGATCATTAACAGTATTTTTCAAAAAGTCAATCAAATTGGATATTGCGACTATTGAGTTCATGCAGATTTCTTACCTAATAGCGAAACGCGGCTTGTTCATTATTATAATGACAAAAACAAAAGATTCAAGGTTATATTTAAAACTAATTTTAAACAATTTCCCATACGATGATAACACTACTTCTCCAGGAGACTACCAACCTTCGGAAATTAAAGACCATCTTTGGTCTTGTTCCATACACAGTTAAGGACACTCGGGTATTCCTTTTGGAAATTGCGAATCCCATGGTTAGTCCTCGGACAAATTCGATAAGTTTTCGAAAGTTTCCAACACCGTATCTTTCAACACTTGAAGAACCATCCACTAAGAAAGCCAGATCGATTTTGGCACTACAAGCTGAGAGGATGTTAATGGAAAATAAGGCTAGTTAGATTTAGTGCTGTTTAAACATACATGTATGTAAACTGAATTGAGTTTATTTGATTATGAGAAGTGAACTTTTAACCCAACGCTGGGAGTTATTCCAATTATCTAAAGAACTGGCCGTCTGCACTCTAAGGCCAAGTTAACTGTGAATTTGTATTCTACAAAAACCTCAAAGACGCAGTGAAATAAATCAAAATTGAACGATATGCACTGATCGACGAGGCGTTTTAACTATTTAGTGTTCCTTACGAAGACACTGTTCCTGACTATTAGTTATACGTCACAAATGCTTATGCACAGCAACACAAAGACAAATTGACTAAAATAGCACTTTACGCGCGCTCTTGAAGGAATTAATTATAAATACCTTACAGATGTTGTGTTAGTATTTGGGATTTAATTACCTTGTGCTTTTGTTGGCTTTGCTGCAGAAAAGAAACAAAACAACAGTATTAGTCATTTTAATATTCACATGAAGATGTTTTAATTTTGGTCATTTTCTTATAGCCTTTTTTCATTGTTAATGTTTACAAAAAGAAGCTAATGGTATGGTGTGATCGTCTACCAAATGCTTTTTTTCAACTAATTCTATCTCATCTGATGTAACAGAGTGATGATACATCCCTTGACTGAAACACTGCAGTATTACTTACGACAAGGTGGACACATTCCTGGTAGCACTGTGGGAGAAACTGCAAATGATTGACTTGCAGGGTTGTAGATGTCATCCTTTTGTCCTGTGTTATCAGGTGCGTGTTGTCCTTTGTCCTCCAGATCGTCATCATCGTTATCATTTCGTTCATCATCATCTTCATCATCTTCGTCGTCGTTTTCATCTTCGTCATAATCATCATCATGATCATCGTCCTCGTCATTTTTCCTCCTTTCCTTTTCAGCCACCCGATCAGCTTCTTTCTCTTGTTCCACGGCTTCTTTCTCGATTTCATCATTGTAATTGGGCTCGTAGGAAGGCTTCTGTTGTTCCACATTTTCCTTGTCGTGCTCTTGAGCTGGCGTAATAGTATTATTCTCTCGAACATTGTCATTTCCGTTCTCTAAGATCAGCTGCGATGTCAGCGGATTCGAGTCATTTTTTGTTAAAAACTCATTATTGCCGTCATCGTGTTTGCCAGTACTGTTGTAGAACTTGTCTTTATTCTGTTTAAAATTGTATCCGGCAAAGCTCTGCTCCGTCCCGTTAAATTCGTGGTAGTCATCTGCGTCTGAAATAAAGCCCTTCGTTTGTGGAGAAGCATTCCTGTCAGGTCCCAGTTGGTCCCAAGAGGAGACCCTTCTAGTAGACGCTTTCTCTGATGTAGGACGTGCCTTAACTGGGTTTGCTTTACTGTTCTGAGCAGCAGGTCCGGGATTCACGTATCGTGGTGGAGTTGGAGCCACTTTGGGCTGAAAACTCGGTACAACTTGAGGCTGGTAACTAGGCGGGTACCCTGGATAGTTGATGTAACCTTGGAAACCCTTATAACCACCAGTCTCAGGGACACACGGGGGTTTACCTGGAAAAAGGAAGATGAAAATGTAGTATTTGATGAGAGTACTTGACGAGATTCTTCACTCATCCTCCTCGTGGCATATGATAACTAGAATGTAATGATATCTGTGCGAGGCGAAGTGTGTTTCAATTAGGAAATGCGAACGAATTAGTTGAGGGAGGGAATATGAAAAAAAAAAATACATGAGGTGTAAACTGGTTTATTTTGCAACTAACCTGGACAGACCATGTTTGATGGACAACATGGCATTGAGGAGTAGGCATATTGCTGTCTTGGAGCGCCCCAGGCTACAAATCGAAACGAAGAAAGCTTTAGAGTTAGTTGCTTTTTATTTACTTATGAATAAAGGCTGATAGTTTTTAAAGAAACTGTTTGGGGCTGCGTCGGTGGGGGTAACGAAATAATTTGGATATATCAACAAAGTTGAAATGGTAAACTGGCCACCGTAACGATTACAAAAGCTGACGTTTCGAGCGTTAGCCCTTCGTCAGAGCGAAGGGCTAACGCTCGAAACGTCAGCTTTT